CGCCCCAGCGGCGGCGCGAGGCGAGCGCTACCGGACTCCAACCTCGCCTTCCCTTTTCGGAGAGGCGGGTCGGGGAGAGGTAAGGAAGCAGCGACTCGTTCGCAGCCAAGACCCCGAGAGGGGCCTGAGGAGGCCGGATGAGGGGAGTTAGGTGTTGAGAGCGTCCCTTAAGCAGCAAGGTCCCGGTTTTCGTCCGGGGTTTGCAGCAGGGGCTAAGGGAAGGGAAGGGAGGAGCCCAGGCGTTAGGAGCCCGAGACGTGGCAGCCAAGTGTACCCGCCGCCCGTCACCCGCGCCACCTCACACAGCCGTCTCTACACCACCCGACTTTGTCTAGCCGGCATCCTCAGCCCGCTTTCTCGCCATCGGGCCTCCGAAGCTAAAACGGGGCGCGGGGGTCTCCCCAACCGACCGAGGGCCGCGGGACCCGCCCGGCAGCGGGAGCAGAGCGCTGCTCCGCCGGAGAAAGTGTATTCGCACGGTTCGACTGTCGCCTCGAGAATCGCTTTTCTGGAAGGGGTGAAGGCGCCAAAGTGCGGGCCGAAGATTACTACTGCCTGTTCTTGCCCATTTCATTTGGGGAATTCGCGTTTATTATATTTTTTAAAATAAAACTTCTTTTAGTGTTTCGGGAAACTGCTCTTTTGTATTTCGTTTGTAAATTATTACCCACTCCTTGAAATTGGTCGTCAAGCAGCCTTCGGGAGAGAGACCATAGGCGCAAACCAAACAAAGCGGATTCAGCCCTGCGTCCTCAGTCCTCACCGGCAGAAAGGTGTGCGTTTTGTCAGCCGTTAAGAAGTTTGTTTTCTGTGTCAGCTGAGGTAATCCCATCTCTGAATGCACTGATGTTTTATATAAACATAAATAATCTTATTAACACACTCGGAAGATTTTTGTATAGTAAGAAAGTCATGTATAATTTGCTCTGGGTCATCAAAACCTAACTTACTGAACACTTTATATCCGCTCACAAAAATATACAATTAGCATTTTATTGCATTCATACAATGGGTGTAATGACTTGGATTAGAAACCAAGATTTGAATTCATGTTTTACCACTTACCATGATACCCTTGCACCAACCACTTAAACTTCACTATTTCCTCATTTCAGAATGAAAGTAGAGTGATAGAAATATCTTCTTGCCTAGCGTAATATCTGAGTTAAAATGCGTGGTACAGTGATGTTTCTCTTGGTAAATAAATAGAAGATACTCATTGCTTGCTGGAGTCGTTTTCTCCCCTTTTTTTTCAGTAAATTTATTGCACCTTTGTTGCCTTGATCTCATTAGTTCTTTACTCAAAGTCTGTTTTGTTTTACAGTATTTGTAGTTCTTTATATTTTTAGCTCAATAGTATGGATATTAAGACCCATTTTCTTTTTTAAAAAAAGAATTATTTTATCTTATGTATCATTTTTATTATTATTTAATTTGACCAGAGAGAGAGAGTGAGAACGTAAGTTGCCAGTTCTGGGTTTCTAACCATGGTCCACCAGTGCCCCAATCACCATGATACTTGCCAACACAAGACCTATTTTCAATGAATAAGGTATCATTAAATACCATTTATTTTTTAACTTTGCATTTATTTCCATTAACTTTCTTTCCTTTTTTTTTTTTTTGAGAGGTTTTTCCTGTAGGGCTCGTGCACTTGCCAGAAAGACAGACAGAAAGCGAGAAATCACCCTCCAGGGCAATGGCCACACCACAATCCCTTCTCTATTCTCCTCTCAGGATCTTGGGCACACACGCACACGTGCCTGGCGTAAGTTTAAGCCGCTAGGTCCAGGACTCAAAACGGCAGTCGACTATGTGGGAGTCCAGCAACATAGCCATTACTCTAACTGCTGGTTCCTATTTCTATTAACTTACTATGTTACTTTTCATTTCAATAATTATAATTCTGGTCCAAAAAATGATAGAAACTACTTTATAGAAACTCCTTTTTCTCTGCTGTTCCTTTTTTTTTTTTTTTTTGAGAGGTTTTTGGTATAGGGCACGTATGCTCACCAGAGAGACAAAAAGCAAGAAATCACCCCCCCCAGGGGAGATGAGCACACCACAATCCCTTCTCCATTCTCCTCTTGGGATCTTGGGCACGCACACACGCACCCACCATGAGTTTAGGCCACCAGGGCCAGGACTCAAACCGCAGTCGACTACATGGGAGTCCAGTGACATAGCCTTTACACCAACCCGCCCGGCAGCGGGAGCAGAGCGCTGCTCCGCCGGAGAAAGTGTATTCGCACGGTTCGACTGTCGCCTCGAGAATCGCTTTTCTGGAAGGGGTGAAGGCGCCAAAGTGCGGGCCGAAGATTACTACTGCCTGTTCTTGCCCATTTCATTTGGGGAATTCGCGTTTATTATATTTTTTAAAATAAAACTTCTTTTAGTGTTTCGGGAAACTGCTCTTTTGTATTTCGTTTGTAAATTATTACCCACTCCTTGAAATTGGTCGTCAAGCAGCCTTCGGGAGAGAGACCATAGGCGCAAACCAAACAAAGCGGATTCAGCCCTGCGTCCTCAGTCCTCACCGGCAGAAAGGTGTGCGTTTTGTCAGCCGTTAAGAAGTTTGTTTTCTGTGTCAGCTGAGGTAATCCCATCTCTGAATGCACTGATGTTTTATATAAACATAAATAATCTTATTAACACACTCGGAAGATTTTTGTATAGTAAGAAAGTCATGTATAATTTGCTCTGGGTCATCAAAACCTAACTTACTGAACACTTTATATCCGCTCACAAAAATATACAATTAGCATTTTATTGCATTCATACAATGGGTGTAATGACTTGGATTAGAAACCAAGATTTGAATTCATGTTTTACCACTTACCATGATACCCTTGCACCAACCACTTAAACTTCACTATTTCCTCATTTCAGAATGAAAGTAGAGTGATAGAAATATCTTCTTGCCTAGCGTAATATCTGAGTTAAAATGCGTAGTGATGTTTTGTTTCTCTTGGTAAATAAATAGAAGATACTCATTGCTTGCTGGAGTCGTTTTCTCCCCTTTTTTTTCAGTAAATTTATTGCACCTTTGTTGCCTTGATCTCATTAGTTCTTTACTCAAAGTCTGTTTTGTTTTACAGTATTTGTAGTTCTTTATATTTTTAGCTCAATAGTATGGATATTAAGACCCATTTTCTTTTTTAAAAAAAGAATTATTTTATCTTATGTATCATTTTTATTATTATTTAATTTGACCAGAGAGAGAGAGTGAGAACGTAAGTTGCCAGTTCTGGGTTTCTAACCATGGTCCACCAGTGCCCCAATCACCATGATACTTGCCAACACAAGACCTATTTTCAATGAATAAGGTATCATTAAATACCATTTATTTTTTAACTTTGCATTTATTTCCATTAACTTTCTTTCCTTTTTTTTTTTTTTGAGAGGTTTTTCCTGTAGGGCTCGTGCACTTGCCAGAAAGACAGACAGAAAGCGAGAAATCACCCTCCAGGGCAATGGCCACACCACAATCCCTTCTCTATTCTCCTCTCAGGATCTTGGGCACACACGCACACGTGCCTGGCGTAAGTTTAAGCCGCTAGGTCCAGGACTCAAAACGGCAGTCGACTATGTGGGAGTCCAGCAACATAGCCATTACTCTAACTGCTGGTTCCTATTTCTATTAACTTACTATGTTACTTTTCATTTCAATAATTATAATTCTGGTCCAAAAAATGATAGAAACTACTTTATCTCTGCTGTACCTTTTTTTTTTTTTTTTTGAGAGGTTTTTGGTATAGGGCACGTATGCTCACCAGAGAGACAAAAAGCAAGAAATCACCCCCCCCAGGGGAGATGAGCACACCACAATCCCTTCTCCATTCTCCTCTTGGGATCTTGGGCACGCACACACGCACCCACCATGAGTTTAGGCCACCAGGGCCAGGACTCAAACCGCAGTCGACTACATGGGAGTCCAGTGACATAGCCTTTACACCAACTGCAGGTCCCTCTATTGTACCTTTCAAAACTCTTCCCACAAGTACTTGGAAAATTTAAAGAACAGTCTTTATTTTATCACTGAGCATGTGTTTGGTTCAAAAACTCTGTATTCTTTTTTAGGGAAACAAGGAAGTAGAGAAATGAATTTTTTCTACCTGAGATTATAAACCTTTGATCTGCTTTCATTGCGTGTTAATAACACTATATTGACTAATACTTAGGAAGAAAGAGGTAAGGTTTTGTTTTCTGTGTTCAACTCTAAATATAGTTCAAGCTGATTTTTAAAAATTTTTAGTTTGCTGTAGGGCTCCTCTGCTGGAGAGGGATGCAGTTCAAGTGAGAAATTACCCTCCAGGGGGCATAGCCACTCCACAGTCACTTCTACTCTTCCATTCTCCTTAGGGATTTGGGCACTCATGTGTACAGGCCTGACTTGTTTTTTAAGCCACTGGATCCTTAACCCCAACTGCTCAGTTGGTCATGTTGGATTCAGCCACCTTAACTTTCATGTCACCTACTAGCCCAAAGCTAGATCATTTTCTATCTTTAATTTTTCTATTTTTGGAATATAAACTTTAAGATATCTGTAACTAGGCATTCAAGTAGTGTTTACCAAGAGAAACTCCCTTGTGGTATACATATTTATTAAAAGAATTATTTTAACTTTACTTATTTTAATTTGACTAGAGAGGGACACAGAGAGAGAAAATGAGAAAGTAAACTGCCAGGTCTGGGACTTGAACCGTGTTGGCCATTTGGGAGTCTGTTGCCTTTCACCACCATGCCAACTGCCAGCCCCTATAGTATGCATCTTAATTTGGGTTTTATGTTGTGCAAGAAGATAATTCTATCACTTTAGAAACTTACCATTTTCGTAGTTGGGTGAACAAATTTATTTGAAATGTTCTGTTGCTGTTTTATGATTATAAAAACTAGTTCAAAATGCCTAAAGATGGACCAGCAGTTAGCGTAATGGCGATGTCGCTGGACTCCCACGTAGTTGACCGCAGTTCAATTCCTGGGCCCGGTGGCTTAAACTCAGGCCGGCCGCGTGTGCGTGCGTGCCCAAGATCCCCAGAGGAGAATGGAGGAGAAGGGATTGCGGCGTGGCCATCCCCTCTGGGGGGTGATTTCTCGCTTTCTGTCTCTCTGTCTGTCTGGTGAGCGCACGCGCCCTATAGCAAAAACCTCTCCAAAAAAAAAAGGAAAAAAAAGGCCTGAAGAGATACATGAAAAGAAAACATTCCATCATTCTTTCCAGCAGGTCCTAATTTACTATCTTTCTATTATTCTCTAAAATGCCCTTATATACCTTGATAAAAATCTCAAATCAAGACAGATACATGACTTTGTCTATACTAGAAACTACATAAAAAACAAACTTTACTTCTCAATTGATTCTGTAAGTCTGAGAACTGTATGTAAATGTTTATGGACTCTTGAGTGTCCTCAGGAATTTTAACCTATATACCTGAAACAGGTGACCCTTTAAATGGATTAGGACTTTACAGATGAACCATGAAATAGAGCAGAACTCTTGGGACATATATGAGTATATAATCTGAATTGTCTTGATAGGTAGACCTCATGCATTTATCATTTAAGAACTAGGATTTACATCAAGAAGTACTCCAATTTCCTCTTTTGAAATTATTTACTTAATTTTATTTGTTCATTTAATTTGACCAGAGAGAGAGAGAGGGAAAGTGAGAAAAGCTGCTGGTTCCAGGTCTCTAACCATGGTTGGCCACTTGAGAGTGTCCAGCACCTTAATCACCATGGCACCTGCTGGTCTCCAGAAGTACTCTAATTTCTTTTTTTTTTTTTTTAAGAATTATTTAGCTTTATTTATTCATTCATTCATTTTAATTTGACCAGAGAAAGAAAGAGAGAGAGAAAGTGAGAAAGCAAGCCACCAGGTCCAGGACTCGAATTGTGGTCAGCTTTGTGGGAGTGTCCAGCACCTTAACTGCCACACCGCCTGCTGGTCCCCAGTACTCTAATTTCTAGCATAAGCTTGACTATATGATTACCAGAACAAAAGTATTTTCCTGTCACCTATCACTTTTTTCTTTTTCTTTTTCTTTCTCTTTTTTTTTTCTTGCAGGGGGAAGGGGGCAGAGAGCTCACATGCTCACATAGAGGGGGAAAGCACCTCCTGTGGGATCTGGTCATGCTACAGTCCATTCTCCATTTCTCCATCCTGTTGGGATTTGGGGCATGCAGGCATAGGCACCCAGTGTTTTTCAAATTGTGCATTTGACCTTGTAGCATCTGGTGCTCTTAGCCACCAGGCCATGCGTCCAGCCCTTCCTTTCATTTTTTTACATTCCTTGGACACTCAACTACAAAGAATTTTAGAGTTCCAAAAGTCTTAAAAACAAATTATTTTATAGATTAGGAAGCTGAGCTGTAGACTATTGAATGGTCTTATAGGTTATATATATTTAAAACTAGAAACCTGTTTTTTCTGGCACCTAATCTATTTGATTACTCTGTGTGAGAGTCTACTGTTGGTTGTTGGAAAAGTCATGACACTTTTTTTTTAAAAGAATGTATTTATTTATTTATTTATTTCAATTTCACCAGAGAGGGAGAGAGAGGAGGGAAAGTGAGGAAGCAAGCTGCCAGGTCCCGAACTTGAACTGCAGTCAGCCATGTAGGAGTCCAACACCCTTAACCACCATGCCACCTGCCAGTGCCATGATACATTTTTCCCTAGAAATGACTTTCCCAATGACCCCATATTTTGGTTTAAACATTGATTTTCTAAATTCCACTGAGCATCTCTTTGTATGCCATATTATCAGATCAGATGGGTGATAAAAATAACCATAATTCTCATTTCTAGCCACTGACCAGAGTATGAACCTTGTTTATAAGGTTGATTTTTAGTTTTGCTACCAACTCTCAAAGTCATTTTGAAAAAGTGCCAAGAAAGCCTGAGAGCAAATTCTTTTTTTTTTTTTTTTGAGAGGTTTTTGCTATAGGGCGCATGCGCTGGCCAGACAGAGAGAAACAAAGAGACAGAAAGCGAGAAATCACCCCCAGGGGGGATGGCCACACCACAATCCCTTCTCCTCCATTCTCCTCTCAGGATCTTGGGCACGCACGCACACACGTCCGCCATGAGTTTTAAGCCACCGGGTCCGGGACACAAACTACGGTGGACTATGTGGGAATCCAGCGACATAGCCATTACACTAACTGCTGGTCCCGAGAGCAAATTCTTTTAAAAGTAGAGAGAAGTGGGAACCAGCAGTTAGCGTAATGGCTATGTCGCTGGACTCCCATGTAGTTGATCGCGGTTCGCATCCCGGTCCTGGTGGCTTAAAACTCACGCCAGGCGCGTGTGCATGTGTGCCCAAGATCCCGAGAGGTGAATGGTGGAGAAGGAATTGCGGCCTGACCATCCCCTCTGGGGGGTGATTTCTCGCTTTCTGTCTCTATGTCTCTCTCTGTCTGGCAAGCGCACACACCCTATAGCAAAAAAACCTCTCCAAAAAAAAAAAAAAAATAGAGAGTAGTGTGATTAGCAGGTGGTGTGTTGGTTAAGGTGCCGGACTCCAACATGCCAGGCCATGGTTCAAGTCCCAGACCCAGTGACTTGAAAATGATGCTCATCACATTTGTGTGCATGCCCAAAATCCCAGAAAGAGTGGAGGAGAAGGGATTGTGATATGGCCATCCTCCCTGGGGCGGGGGGAGGGGGTGATTTCTCACTTTCCCTCTCACTGTCTCTCTTTTTCTGGCAAGCTTATGAGCCCTATGGCAAAACCTTTTTTTAACAAAAAGTAGCAAGTAGATCAGTGATATATCACCAACAGTCTTTACTTCCCAGACCCATAGTTAACTTTAATCATTTCTATACTCTTTCCTACTACAACCAGATGTGATCTTAGGATCCTTCTCAGTAACTCATTTGTATTAGCTGCTGGAATTAGTTTGCAAAAATAAAATTGATTTTCTATTCCTGATAGAGGGGTTGTAAAATTTATGCGGTAAATGAGAGATTAGACTGAAACTCTACTTCTTACTCTATCTTTGGTTATTGAGCTGTCAGTCTGTTTGAATTGTTAGTATTATTTTAAAGTTCATTGGCTAGTAATAGGCAAAGAGTTTGAAAATTCTGATTGTTGTATGTTACTATTTAGTACATGAAATGTAAGTTTTATTGGGATCAACTACAAATTCTAAGCATGCCTAAAGTTTTCATTGGTCCCTTTTGGCTTTGATAGCAAAAATTTACTCAAATTACCTCAAACAGTGGGGAGATTATAAAGATTAACATAGAGTTATGTGAGAGATATAGCCAGGAAAATTCAGAAACAACTCTGACACTGATAGCCAAACTAGAAGTGGGCGCAAGGCCAGAAACCTCAAGAGCAAGATTTTATTTTTTTCGGCTTTTGTTTTGTTTAGAGACAAGGTCTCACTTATGTTGTCCAAGCTGGCCTCTAAATCAATCCTCCTGCCTCAGCCTTTTAAGTAGCTAGAATTATAGACATGCCCTACCATGCCCTGCTAACTACAGGAATTCTTGACTCTTCTGTTGTTTAACTATACAAATGCATCATCTATGTATCACCAGTTTGTCTCTCACTACTAGTTCATTTAGTCATTTTCTCTATTCTTTATCTTTCTATCTGTTTACATGTAATCATAGTTCTCTTATAACATGAACTTGCCTCATGGCTGTGATACTACTCTGTAACTTTTCTTTCCACATGCTTTTTGTTTCAGTGTCTGCTAATACTTGAATCTTGAATTTTCACAGTCCTAATTTTTAAAGGTTCATCTTTTCACATGAGGTCATTTTATTTGTTTCTGTTTACCCCAAAATTGAATTTGGCCACCACCCTTGACCCAGTCAGAAATGACCAAGGGGATTTTTTTTAACCATAGGGTGCATGTGCTCACTAGAGAGAGAGAGACACACACACACACACACACAGAAAAGGAAAGTGAGAAATCACCCCCTTCCCCCAGGAGCAGATTGACCATGCCACAGCCCTTTCTCCTCATTCTTATCCTGAGATTCTGGGCACACATGCATACATGCCCAGCGTGAGTTTCAAGCTACTGGGTCTGAAACTTGAACTGCATTTGGCCATGTGGGAGTCCAACACCTTAGCCACCAGAAATCACCCCCAGGGGGAGATGGACACACTGCAATCCCCTCTCCTCTATTCTCCTCTCAGGATCTTGGGCACACACGCACATCCACCCGGCATGAGTTTAAGCCACCGGGTCCAGGACTCGAACCATGGTTGACTACATGAAAGTCCAGCGACATAGTCATTCCGCTAACTGCTAGTCCCCAGATCACTTTTTCTTAAAGTTTATTTATTTCTTCTGTAAGAGAGAGATACACACACAGAGAAAGGCACTCTTAACAGGGTTTTTTTTAATTGTATTTGTTTGTTTGTTTATTTGCTACAGGGTATATGAGCTTGCCAGAGAGAGACAGAAAGGGAAATAGAGAGAAAAGAGAAAGCATCCCCTCCCTAGGAGGCATGGCCAGACCTCAATCTCTTCTCATTTGTTTTGGGATTTTATGCATGTAGGTACATGTGCCCGGCATGTTTCTCAAACTGATGGTTCCAGGACTCAAACTAGTCAGTCGTATGGAATCCAGCCACCATAACCACCATGCCATTGATTAGCCCCCAACAGGGTTTTCATGCCACAATCCACTCCTGGCCTAAGCCAGCCAGGATCATGAGTGTGCACTTGGCCATCTATTATGTACAGAGATACCTCAAAACATGAATTCAGGGTCTTCCCATATGGGCTCAGCATCATGGAGTATTGTGTTCCTGCTGTGCCACTATGCCTGACTAGATCAGACTTAAACTTTTGTTTTTCTTGGGTTGTTGCTGGTGGGTGCATGCACTCACCCAAGAGGAGAGAGACAGAAATAGCAAATGAGAAAATAACCCCCAAGAAGGGATGGCCATGTTGTAAACCCTTCTCTCCCATTCTCCTCTTGGGATTTTGGGCACACACATACATGTGCCCGGTGTGGTTTTCAACCCACCAGGTCCAGGACTTGAACTATGGTAGGCCATGGGAATCCATGGGAATTCCCACTTTAACTGTGGTAGGCCATGATAGGCTATGAGAATACAACTGCCTTCTCCACCAAGCCATCTCCTGGCCCTCACACTTTAACTTTTAATTACTGTAAGAAATTTATGTAGGAAGTAAAACATGAAACTAATTTGATTTACAAGATTGTTTATCCAGGAAACAACCTATTAATTTTGGTAGCATTAAACGGTTAGCTGTGGGCCTACCTCATGGGCCTGGTGGTTAAGGCAGCCAATCCCATATGGCTGGCCATATGGATCCTGGGTCAAACTGAGTACACTGAGTGTGCACACATGTCCATTTTCCTGGGTGACTGGAAGACTTGAGAGCAAGGGGCTGTAATGTGATGAAACTCTGTTGAAGAGGCTTGTCTCACTTTCATGAAAAAAGTAAAATAATTTTTAAAAAATCAGTCTTTCCACTTACAAAAAAGTATGTGTGTGTATATATATATAGTGTGTGTGAGTGTGTGTGTGTGTATATATACACACACAGACATATATATATATATATATACACACACACACATGTTTTAAGGTTTTTGCCATAGAGCATGAGTGTTTGCCAGAGAGACAGAGACAGAGAGAGAAACAGAGGAAAAGTGAGAAATCATCTCACAGGGTGGATGGTCATACCACAGTCACTTCTCCTTTATTCTCTTCTCAGGATTTTAGGCACACACACACACACACACACACGCATGCCTGGTGTGATTTTCAAGTTGACAGATCCAGGACTCAAACCACAGTTGACCATGTGGGAGTCCAGCGCCTTAACCACTATGGTACCTGCTTGTCCCTGAAGTATATTTCTATTCACTATAAGATATGATACATTTCACTTAATTTTCACCAAGAGATAACGAATTACCATTTTAGGATGGTAAAATATGTCCTGGTCACAAGTCAATTATTATGTGGTTTTTCAGCTTATTGTATATGATGTATGTTCATTTTATTACAATTACCAGCCCTATTTACTTAATATGTCATTTTAATTAAGTTAATAATAAGACTGTATATATTCCTAAATTTTCATTTATAGGCTTTTAAGGCTTTTGTGTTTTCTTTTCATGTTTTAAACAGGTCAGAGGCCAGAGTGAATGGACTGCTATCTTAAACAAGCCAAAAATCTGTTGTAACCTTTATTTAATACTATTTAAATGAAGAAAGATAAAAGAAAGTCCAGAATTCCAACTGACAATGATACTATTCAGACATTGGTGAATATGTCACTCAATCCAAGTCGACCTTCTTCATCAGAGGTAAGGAAGTTTTTTTGTAAAATATAAGAAAAACTTGCCTATCATTGTTTTTGAAGCTTTGACAATGCAAATTATGAATTACAGGGGTTGGCAGGTGGTATGGTGGTTAGCGGTGCTGGACTCCCACATGGCCAACCATGGTTTGAGTCCTGAACCTGGCAGCTTGTTTTCTTGTTTTCCCTTTCTCCCTCTCTCTCTCTTTCTTTCTCTCTCTCTCTGTCTCTCTCGTGTCTTACTCTGGTCAAATTGAAAATACCAGTAGTGATAAATAAAATAAAGGAAAAAATTCTTTAAAAAATATGAATTACATAAATTGTTAGCTGTTGACTCCACCGTGATTCCCTCTTCCTGTATTCCATTGTCTGATTACACTTGTGTCTCTAGCCCACTTCCTCTAATACCCCAGTAGTTCTGGGACCTCCAGTGCATTGACCTTATACCTTACTCAAGTGGCAATGACTTTGCTAGCTGACTTCAATTCCATAGGACAGCCTCGGTCACTCCCTTGCACATCATTTTAACTCCTTGCTCTTCTCTTGCTGCATAGTATTGTATTCCTTTCACAAAACAGCAACCCCATTAATCCATTTCTCCACCTATTCTCCACCTACCCCTAAGCAGCTGAACATGGCTGGAAAAAATATACCAGGACTTTAAGTTCATTACCTTAAATGTCAAGCAAAATCTTTACTGGTTGGTGGTCATATTACAACCACTCATTCATTCACTCTTCCACTCTTCTAGACAAGTGTTTTATACCTTCTCAAATCTCTAGTCCCCTTCCCCCATTTTCTCTTAAACCAATTCCAGTCAAGCTTTTACCTTCACTGCTCTCCACCAAGACTGCTCTTGTTAAATTCACCTCTTTATTATTAATCTATTAGTTAATTCTGATCCTAAACATACTTGATGTATCTGAGCACAATAGTTGACACCATAAATTTTTCTTTCTTTTCTTTTCTTTTCTCTTCTCTTCTTTTTTCTTTCTTCCTTCCTTTCTTTCTTTCTTTCTTTCTTCTTTTTAACTTCAGGCATTACCAGTTTAATTACCTGCTAGATCATCAGATGGAAACATGTGGCAAGCAAATGGAAACACAGTTCATAAACTTAGAGAGGCAAGCATATTTTAGAAAAGTTTAGGTTTAGACATTCACCAGGCTGGACAATTTTTTAACATTTAAAATAAAACTTTTTGTCATGAAAAACAAAGCCATACATTAAAACAATTCCATTCCGGAATTGTCCAAATTATTATTATTTTTTTATTTTTATTTTTTGGAGAGATTTTCACTATAGGGCGCGTGCGCTCGCCAGACAGACAGAGAGAGACATTGGAGACAGAAAGCAAGAAATCACCCCCCAGGGTGGATGGTCATGCCGCAATCCCTTCTCCTCCATTCTCCTCTCGGGATCTTGGGCACGCACGCACACGCGCCCGGCGTGAGTTTTAAGCCACCGGGTCCGGGACTCGAACCGCGGTTGACTACGTGGGAGTCCAGCGACATAGCCATTACGCTAACTGCTGGTTCCCTCCAAATTATTTTTTAAACACAATTAAATTTTTGTTACATTTCTTTAAATGTCAAGTTGTTTTGTTTTTTTTTAGCAAATCTATCCAAAATATTGTTTCCATTTAGAACTGAGTTTGTGTTAGTGTAGCCTAGAATCAGTTCCATCAGGTAACCTTTCTTTAAGCCCTAATGGTTAACTTCCCTTTAAAATGTGTATCTCTTAATTAAATTGTCATTCTCAAAGATATTCTGGAGGAACAATTATGAATTAAACACTTACAAATTATTCTTCACTTGTGTTATAGTGTAGCAATTTATCATCTAACCCATAATGGTCTATCAGTTGAGTAAGGCTTAGTTTCTTGTTCTCTCAGACATAACTGACTGTAACTCATAAAGCAACAGCTGGCTATAGTTTCTCCTCTTCTTTATTAACAACTGTAATTGAGACAGGTCATTCTTTGATCTATACATTTTGACTAGTTTTAGCCTCTGAAGAAGATCTTTTTTCTCCTGTACCTGCTTCACCAATTTTGCTTTTTCTTCATCTAATGCTTGTTTAGGATAACTGTCCTTCAAAAAATTATTTTGGAGAACATCTGTATCAAGTGATTTTTGATTCACATGCACTGATATTCTTGAAGTCATTTTTGAAAGGTGCATTTTCTTCAAACTTGCTGTCTGTGTGTTTAAAACTTTCTTGAAATTCCAAGCAGTTTTCTTCTATTAAAGATACTGGTTTCTCTGAAAAGGTCTGACTACTTTCTTCATTCTCTACTTTAAGATGCTTTACCACACAGTAATGGGAATTAAATGAAGACCTTGTTTTCCTTCATTTTCCTGTGGCACTCACAGGTTGTTTTCTTGAACTATTTGTATAGGGTGAGGGTGTATTCACCCAGGCCTGTGGAGTGGTGGGTACAATCACAGATGAGTCTGAAGGACTTTCCATCTTGAAAATGAAATCTTGGCTTACCTCTCCCTCTGCCATGCCCAAATGCCTCTTTCTTGACTTTAGTCTTTCACTTGGCTTCTAGCATAAACATTATCTTGGTTTTCTTTCTACTTCCCTGGTTATTCATTCTCAGTCTTCTTTGCTGAGTCTTCGTCTTCTTTCTGACCTCCTACTATTGGAGTATATTAGAGTTCAGCTCTTTTTTTTCATCTCTGCACTTATTCTTTGGTGTTCTTACCCAGTCAAGTAGATTTAAATACCAACTTCATACTAAGGATTTTCAAATTTATATCTCTATCCTAGTCTACTTTCCCAAACTCCACATTCATATTTATGATTGATTGATTGATTTTTGAGAGGTTTTTGCTATAGGGCGCGTCACTCGCCAGAAAGACAGAGACAGAAAGCGAGAAATCACCGCCTGGGGAAACGGCCACACCACAATCCCTTTTCCTCCATTCTTCTCTCAGGATCTTGGGTATACACACACATGCGCCCAGTGTGAGTTTAAGCCACACTGGTGGTGGCCTAAATGGCCTAAACTCGAACCGCGGTCAACTACATTGGAGTCCAGCAACATAGCCATTATGCCATCTGCCGGTCTGCACATTCATATATATGTATATTCAGCTAACAATCAGGCTGTCAGAAAAGTCATGACACATTTTTACATATAAAAACATTAAAAAAAGACAGCTCAATATTTGACACATCCACTTCTCCAGTGGACATCTCAAATTTAACATGTCTTTAAATGGATCTTTTCTCTAACCCAAAACCTGTACTACCCATGACTTTCCTCATCTCAGGTGATGATAAGTCTGTTTTTTTGGTATCTGAAGCCAAAAGCTTTAAAGTCATACTTGATTCTTCTTGCATACTTGACTCTTCTACTTGACTCTTTTCTCTTGAACTTTACTTCCAGTGGATTAACTCTAGCTTCAAGACATATTCAAACTCTGACTACTTTTCATCACTTCTATTGCTAGCACATTGGTGTGAGCCGCCATCATCTCCCACTGTAATTATTCCAACAGCTTCATAATAGTTTTCCTTTTCTTCCCTCTTATACTTTATTTTGGCTCTTATATCTTTAACCCAATAATTAAATTTAGAAACTTAAAAATAATTCATTATGAGTGTTCTGATATAATGCAATATGAAATACATGGCACCATTCATCAAATATTCTTGCTCCAGATAGTTAACCCGTGTCATTTGAAAGCTATACACTTAACAGTTTATAGGTGATGCAGAGGTTGAAGAAATAAGTTAAATGATACCTTTGAGATAATGAGGTAATTTCAGAATGTAGAACATTCTATAGGACAACTGGCCTATCTCTTTAAAAAAGCAATGCCATGAAGAGTTTAAAAAAAAAAAAAAAAACAGGTTTGGAAAATTCTTCCAGATTAAAGTTTTTCAAATACAGGATAACCAAATGCAATGTGTAATCCTTAATTGAATTTTAGACTGTAAAAACATTTTGAAGACAATTGGGAAAACTTGAATATGGACTGCCATTAGTTGACATTAAAGAATTGTTAATTTTCTTATATATAAAAATGGGGAGCCAGCCAGTGGCACAGCAGTAAAATACAATGCCCTGTGGGACTGACTTTCCTGACTAGTTCCAGGAGCTCTCCTCGATGCACCAGGCATGTGCTGCCCATGATTCAGGGTTGGTTGGGGCTCAGGGTGAATCACAGCATCAGGACCCTGTTGCAGATACAGTCTCTCAGTCTTGCACATGGAAGAAAGAAATAAACCAAAAAAAAGTTAACTTTTTTAGAAAATGAAAATGGTATTGTAATTATGTTAGAAAAGTCTTTAATTTAGAAGATAAATGAAAAGTATTTGGGGATATAGCATTATGATGTGTCTTTGAATATTTCATTGAGAGAGGAGAGTGGGAAAAAAGTAAACATGGCATGGCAAAATGTTAACTTTTGAACCTAAATAGCAGATATTTGGACACTCATGGTATTCTTTTTTTATTCGTATGTGTATTTAACATTTTTCATATTAAACAAAAATTCATCATGCTTCTATTAAAACTTTGCACTGGCTTTCTGTGTTTATAAAGGGAACACCTTGTATGGGTTGAACATTCCTAATCAAAAAATCCAATATCTTGGGAATAGCAGATGGAATAGTGGTTACATCACTGGACTCCCATGTAGTTAACAGCAGTTAAAGTCCCGGACCTAGCGGCTTGAGGTTCATGCTGGGCTATCTCTCTGGCAAGCACATATGTCCTATATCAAAAATCTCTCTTAAAAAAAAGAAATCCGATATCTGAAATACTCTAAAATGTGAAACTTTTGAGCACTGACATGATGCCACAAGGGGAAAATATCATACCTGACCTCATATGACTGTTTATAGGCAAAATGCTGTATTACACAAATACTGTATAAAATTACCTTCAGGCTATGTATATAAGGTGTATATGAAATCTAAATTAATTTCGTGTTTAGACTTGTGTGCCGTCCACAGGATAGCTCATTATGTATGATGCTATAGTAATGTGCTGCTAAAGAGAAGCTCTGCCCCATGTAAGTGACAACTGTGATTCAAATCCCTGGTCTGGTCAGCCCGAAAACATGCCAGGCACACACACAAGTGCCAGAATCCAACAGGCTGGAGGACTCTAGGAACGATCTGGGTGTGACCACACCCTGTAGAGGATGCTCCTCCCTCTCTGTCTCTCTCACGTACACATAGGCAGGCTCTATCATGAATGAAGGAAAAAAATTTTTGTTTACTGTATATGTAAATATCTCAAAGTTAAAAAAAAATCCAGGAAACAAAACCAAACTGCTTCTAGTCCCAGGCATTTCTGATAAGAATACCAGTTTATAATCTCCCAGAAGGCCATCCGTAATTTATTTCTCTTGTCATTTCCTTATTTTTCTTATCTCCTACTATTCTCTTCTCCATCCTAGCTGCTTCAGTTATAGGGGCATGCTCTCATCTCAGCTTTTGCTTTATCTCTTCCTGGAAGTCTTTCCCTCTAAGTCTTCACTTGGCTAATTTCTTCTTTTTCTTAAGTCTTTATTCATATCTCATCTGAAGAGATGGGTCTTGTCCTAACTATTTAAAACTGCAATCTTCTTCATCTCTCATATTCCCAGTCTTCCTTGGTTTACTTTACTTACTCTTTTCTCCTAGTAATCACCCTTTTTTTATATTCCATGTAACCTATTAGCATTCTGTATTTATTTTTTTTATTGTCTATATTCTTCACAGACTAGAGCCAGGGCTAGTCTGAAGTAAATGAGGTACTTGCAGCAGCTACACAATTTAAGGGGACACCACTTTTTGTTTTTAATTAAAATGAATGCAAGAAATCCATGATGAAGATACTCAGATTTGAAGTAAGGATAATATCTTATGTCTAACCATTTGAAGCCTGAGGCAAAAGGAAAAATCGGTGCCCTCCTATAATATATACTTTTAAATCTATTTGTTAAATAGCTTGTGGCTTTAGTGAAAATGTTATTAATTGTTTCCGTCAAAGCCAGGAAAGTAAGATTATAGTAAATGGAGTTTAGATGTAAATAGAATATTTAAACTTAAGTAATATGAATTGGGGAACCAGCAGTTAGCGTAATGGCTATGTCGCCGGACTCCCACGTAGTTGACCGCGGTTCATGACCCGGACCCGGTGGCTTAAACTCACGCCAGGCTCGTGTGCGTGCGTGCGTGCCCAAGATCCCGAGAGGAGAATGGAGGAGAAGGGATTGCGGCATGACCATCCCCCCTGGGGGGTGATTTCTCACTTTCTGTCTCTATGTCTCTCTCTGTCTAGCAAGCGCATGCGCCCTGTAGCGAAAACCTCTCCAAAGAAAAACTTAAGTAATATGAATTGTAATACATATAATTTTTAATAAATATACTTATGACTTTTTCAACTATTTTAGTATTCTGGGAAATAACTACTAAGATGAATTTTTTAGGAAAGGCATATATAAATACGTAGTTCAAGAAATATTTTCCCATTGTAAAATAGTAATACATTTATATAAAAGAAGGTCGTATTTACTTCAAACTTCTTAAGGTTTTACAAATATATAACAGTATAGCTAGGAAACAGTCTTTTAACTGATCTAGTGTTCAAAATGCAGCATATGGTAAACTTCACTATCAGATCTATACAAACATTTTAAATATTTCACCATCAAAAGTATAGAAGTAATTTACTTGTTTATGAAAACAACTTAAGCAAAACCTTCAGTTGAAGAACAATTTTTATTTCCTATAAAATTACTACTAATAATAGGTCATATACAAACCTTTAAAGAGTCCTTAGACATTTAATATTGCAGTAGAGTATAATAATTTAAATTCTTGGACTTCTTTTTTTTTTTTTAAGAGAGATTTTTTCCTAGGGTGTGTGTGTTCTCCAGAGAGAAAGACAGAAGGCAAGAAATAACCACCCATGGAGGATGGCCATGCCACAGTCCCTTCTCCTTCATTCTCCTCTTGGGGCCCATAGATACATGCCCCCGGTGGGAGTTTGAAGCCTCTGGGTCTAGAACTCCATCTGCAAGCTGCTATGTGGGCATCCAGCGATGTAACCATTACGCCATCTGCTGGTTGCAATGCTTGGACTTTTAATATGTAGTGGATATCAACTTTATTAAACTAAAAGATTATTTAGACTGTATTTTGCAGTAATAGTTTAGTGTCTATTGTTGTATTATGATTCTAAATAGAAAGATTCTAAGCAAGGTTATAACAAAACATCAATAGAAAAGTAGATAGTTATATGTTACCATAGACAAGCTATAGACATGCCCCATGTAAGAACAACCATTCCTTTCCCCATCATTGGTCAGTTGTCACAGTTCAAGTCCCGAACATAGTGGCTTAAAACTAACATCAGGCATGTGTATGTGTGAGCGCCCAAAATCCCAAGAGGAGAGCAACAGAGAAGGGATTGCATTGTGGCCACCCCCCCCGGGGGGGGGTGATTTCTTGCTTACTTTCTCTCAATGTCTCTCCAGCGAGCGCACGTGCCATATAGCATGAACCTCTCTTAAAAAAGAAAAAAAAAGGAAGAAAGAAAGCTGATTTCAGAGCCAGCAAGTGGCATGGTGGTTAAGGCAATTGACTCCCTCTTTCCTGTTGTCTGTCTTTCTCTGTGTGTGTGTGTCTTTCTCTCTGGTGAACACACATGCCCTATAGCAAATTAGAATAATAATAAATAATTCTAAGGGGAAAAAACAATAAAGAAAGCAAGTCTTGGCACTCTGCTGTTCTTACTATAAACAAGAAGAATGCCATATGTCAAAGATGTTGAAGTAATCTAGGAGACACAACTGTGGCTTTTTTTTCCAAGCAAGGAAAATGTGCTCCAAGTGCCAAGGAGATTACTTAAAAACAAATTTTTGGTTTTCCATTTTTCTTTTTGTATAAATAAATATATTACATATTTATTTCAGCTTTGTTAATTAAATTTAATCTATAGGACAAATTATTTCTTTTCACTTTAAAAATATTTTAACTAACGTTCTTCTCAATTTATTCAGTTGGTGGAACTTCATGTTTTTTATGTCCCTGAGGGATCATGGAACTACAAGTTAAATACCATTTCAATAGACGTTGTTAACAAATTCATTTCAGCTGGATTTATAAGGCAAGTGTTTTGTGATCATGTGAAAAAGAATATTGTTTTTCTGCAGAGAAAAATGCTTTCCAGAGATTTAAAAATTATAATTGGAAAATGTCTTATCTATGTGATAGATCCATCCCTTAACTTAATGAATACTATCAATAAATAGTGCTATATAATAGTTAAATCTAACAGTGCTATAGGAAGAGATGTCAGCTGACTCTAATGTTGCCACCCAATAAACAATGTACACAACCTGTGTATTACAATGGTTACACACAAAGAGACCTAAGGAGCCCGTTATCTGAAATGAAAAATCTGTCAGAGACCCTGTCTAATAGTTAAAGCAATATATCCACAATGCCTTTTTCTCTGGACTGTTTAAAAATACAAAGAACCTACATATACGTGTTTTATGTATATACACATAGACACATATGTGTGTGTTTTCACATGTACAGGAACATACCTGACTCTAATCTGACCACCTGTTTTTTTCTCTCTTGAGCATGCTTCTCTTCCTAATCTTCCCTGTCACTTTCTTCAGCCACATCAGCCTCCTTTCTGTTCTGAAACACATCCGACATGCCTACCTCAGGACCCTTGTACTTACTATTCCTTTGTCTAGAATGTATTTTCTGCCCTTACCAAATGTCCTCTCATCTCCTTTAGGTCTTTATTCAAAAATTACTTTTTTTGTGTAGATATTATCCGATCAGTGTATTTTAAATCATAGGTATATAGTGTCTTGAGTAATATTTTTTTTACTTATTTACTTTGTTATTTTTTCTCTCTCATTACCAGATTATACAGTTTATGAGGATAGATATTTTTGTCAGTTTTGCTGGTTGCTGTATTGCCATCCCTTTGAACAATATCGGACACATGTAGATACTTAATAAATATTTGTTGATTAAATGAATAAATTATCTAATATTTCCTATAAGATCCTGGAAAAAAAGAACCCAGAACAATAGCATAATTGATGGCTTTACTTTTAGACACAGAGGAATCAAGTATCCCTAATGAGCAAAGATGTGGAGTCTAACATTTGATCATTAAAGAGTATTTTAAGAACTAGCTGCTCCTGCCAAACTTCCAAAATAATTATCTATGGCTAACTCATTATTTAATGTTTGTATAAAAATTTATAAATTCCAGAGCAAAATTTTGTTTGAATAATTAAATAATAAAATAAAGAACATTTGTAAGGCTTGCCCCATAGCCCTCTGCTTAAAGGAGTTGAATCACACGTGACCCAGATCCCACGTCCTCAGTAACTTGAAAAAACATAATGGGTGCCTGTGTGTGGATGCCAAATCCCAGCAGGATGGAGAAATAGATAAGAGATCATAGTGGGATAATCATGCTCATGGAGCGCTTTCTCCCTATCCATCTGTTTCTTTCTGGAAAGTGCACATGCCCTCTGGCAATTAAAATGGACTTCTTTTTATAAACTCTGTTCATTTTCATAATTTTAAAAGGCAAACTTTGTCTTTTTTTTTTTTTAACTTTTGCTAGTGGTCACATGAGCTTACCAGACAGATAAATGGAGACACAGAGGGAAAAGAAAAGGGAGAAAGCACCCTTCCATGGGAATAGCCACACCACACTCCCTTCTCCTTTTCTCCATCCTTTCAGAAGTTGAGGCACCTAAACACATGCATCTAGCATGTTTCTCAAGCTGCTGGGTCTGGTATTCATACCACGGGGTTGTCCATGTGGGATCCAGTTGCTTTAACCACCAGGCCACAGAGCTGGCCTAATCATTTATTTTAGAAAATACTGGGTTGTTGGAAAAGTGATGATGCTTTTTTTTTTTTTTTTAAGAGGTTTTTCTATAGGACGGGTGTGCTAGCCAGAAAGACAGACAGAGACAGAAAGAGAGTGAGAAATCACCCCCCAGGAGGGATGGCCATGCCGCAATCCCTTCTCCTCTATTCTCCTCTTGGGATCTTGGGCACACACGCACACATGCCTGGCATGAGTTTAAGCCACCAGATTCGGGACTTGAACCATGGTTGACTACATGGGAGTCCAGCAACATAGCCATTACGCCAACTGCTGGTCCCATCATGATGCATTTTTGCATAGAAAAGCATGTAATGACTTTCCTGACAACCTACTGTTTATTGAAAGCCTACAAGGTGCCAGGCAATGTAGAAACATAATGTATTAACAGGGCAGCAGATGGCGCAGTGGTTGTGTTGCTAGACTCCCACATGCCCGATCACAGTTCAAGTCCCAGACCTGGTGCCTTGAAGATCATGATTGGCACATGTGCACGCATGCCTAAAATCCTAGAAGAATGGAGGAGAAGGGATTGTGGTGTGACCATTCACCTTGGGGATTGATTTCTCATTTTCATTCTTTTTTTTTAAAAAGAATTATTTTTATTTATTTTTATTTATTTATTCATTCACTTTATTTTAATTTGACCCAAGAGAGAAACACACATACAGAGAGAGAAAGAGAGAGAGAGAGGAAAAGTGAGAAAGCAAGCTGCCAGGTCTGGGACTCAAACCGTGCTCACCCATGTGGGATTGTACAGTGTCTTAACCACCACACCACCCACTGGTTCCCTCACTTTTCTTCTTACTGTCTCTGTGTCTCTCTCTCCAGCAAGTGGACATACCCTAGGGCAAAAAACTTTCAAAAAATATTAAGCTATATCTAATTAATCAAATAGGTATTTATTTTTAATATTCTTAACTAAAGACTGAATCATTAGTATATCCAAAATCAATTTAGTTTTACATCATAAGGCGATTTCATGATATTTCAGAGTATCACCTCAACTTACTTTACAAGCACTAAGGGAGCGTCTTGGTGAGTTCCTTGGTGAAGATGCTGTTGCAGATAAATTTTTATTTCTGAAATGCATTGGAAATAATTTAGCTGTGGTAAGTTGTCTTAATTTCTTTCCTTCTTATTAAAGAAAAGCATACCTTATCAATTTATATTTCTTATATCCTTATGAATTTACCTCCTTAACATTCTGTGAAATATATAATCTCAATCATAATGAAGAGAAATATCATTGAACACACAGATCAAGAAAGATGAATCTTGGGGACCGGATGGTGGTGCAGTAGTAAGACACAACCACTCTGGGAGGTAATCCCACATGGGAATGTTGCTGGTTCAAGTCCAGAAACCATCCCAAGTACACTGGGCATGCACTTATGCAAGATTCAGGGCTGGCTACAGCTGGAGATGGATCTTTGCATCATGACCCTATTGGAGATGCTATTTTTCTCTCTTTCTCTTTCGATAATGGAAATAAATTTACTTAAAAAAAAAAAAAGATGGATCTTATTGACATGCTGTTAGACACCAAAATGATGAATTTTTTTGGCATGTGAATTTCCTTAGAAAGAAAAGGAAGACAAATTTAAAGTGATTATCTAAGTAATATGTATATATATATTTTTTTGAGAGGTTTTTGCTATAGGGTGCGTGCTCTCGCCAGAAAGACAGAGACAGAGAGACAAAAAGTGAGAAATCACCCCCCAGGAGGGATGGCCATGCCGCAATCCCTTCTCCTCCATCCTCCTCTTGGGATCTTGGGCACGCACACACACGCGTCCGGTGTGAGTTTAAGCCACCGGATCCGGGACTTGAACCGCGGTCGACTATGTGGGAGTCCAGCAACATAACGATTACACTAACTGCTAGTCACATCTTCTTACAGTTTTTGTCTTAAGCCTATTTTGTCTGAAATCAGAATCACAACTCCAGCTCTTTTTTGGTTTCCATTTACATGAAATACCTTCTTCCAGTCCTTCACTTTTACTTTATGTATGCTATTATCCATGAGGTACATTTCTTGTAGGCAACAAAGGGTTTCTGTTTTTTAATTCATTCAGCCGGTTTGTGTCTCTTGATTGAAGAACTTAATCCTTAACATTCAACATTGTTATCGTTATTTCTAGACTTGTTCCTTCCATTATGTTGGCCATTTTTGGGGTTGTGTTTTGCTCTCTTATTTCTGTCTGTCTGTCTTTAATTTTCATGGTATAGCACTCCCTTTAGAACTTCTTGACAAGCGGGTCTGGTGTTGGTAAATTCTTTCAGATTCTGTTTAGCTAAGAATATTTTTATCTTTTCTTCCCATTTGAAGGATGATCTTGCCAGGTATAGTAATCTTAGTTGAAATTGTTTTTCATTTAACACTTTGAATATATTTTTCTATTCTTTCCTTGCTTGCATTGTTTTTGGTGAAAGGTCTGATGTTAGCCTGTCAGGATAACATTTGTAAGTAATTTGATGCATCTCTTTTGGCAGTCTTAGTATCTTCTCTTTATCTGTGGTTTTAACCAATCTGGCTGTGATGTGCCTCGAATATCTTCTTGGGTTGATTCTGTTTGGAATCCTTTGTATTTCATGAATCTGGATGTTTGAGTGCTTCTCTACACTTAGAATGTTTTCTTCCAGGATTTCATGGAATAGATTATCAATGCCCTTATTAGTTTCTTCACCTTTTGGGATACTAACTATTCGAATGTTTGGATGTTTAATGGAATCTAGTATTTTTTGTATATTATCCTTTTTTTTTTCTTTTAGCTATTTTCTCAGTCTTTTTCGTGACTTTTTTTCTAGGCCAAAGGTTTTGTCTTCTACATCTGAGATTTGATCTTCTGCATGGTCTAATCTGCTCTTACTACTTTCAAGGGAGTTCTCATTGCATGGGTCACAATCAGCCTCATTTGGTATGAAAATGAAATGGCTCTACCATATTATTTTGGTGTCAGTTGTTATCTCTTGAATACTCCTATTTATAGTTTCTATGATTTAAGGGCAAGATACTCTTAAGTAGAGCATATTCCTAGTAGAAATTCTAATCTAACAAACTCAGATTTCAAAGTTTCTAGTCTCTCATATCTATGTAAAGTTTAATTTTTTTTTTAATTTGCTGGAGGACACATGTGCTCACTAGAGAAAGACACAGAGAGGGGGGAGCAGGAGAAAGCACCCTCCCAGTGGTGTGTGGTCACGCTGCAATCCCACCTCCTTCATTTATCCATCCTTTCACAGTCTGGAAGCACACAAACGTGGTCCAACTATCTTTCAAGCTGTTGAGGGTCTAGGACTTGAAGTGTGTAGTCAGCCTTGTGGGATCCGATTCGCTTAGCCACTGGGCCATGGGACCAGCCTGAAATGTATTTAATTAAGATTTTCTGAGAACCAGCAGTTAGTGTAATGGCTATGTCACTGGATTCCCATGTAGTCGACCGCGGTTCACGTCCTGGACCCGGTGGCTTAGAACTCACGCCGGGCATGTATGTGTGCGTGCCCAAGGTCCCAAGAGGAGAATGGAGGAGAAGGGATTGCGGCGTGACCATCCCCCCTGGGGGGTGATTTCTCGCTTTCTGTCTCTCTGTCTCTCTCTGTCTGTCTAGCGAGCGCATGCACCCTATAGCAAAAACCTCTCAAAAAAAAAATTAAAAATAAAAAATTTAAAAAAAAAAAGATTTTCTATGAACCAGGTAATGGCACTGTGACAACACAATTGGATCTATGTGGGTTCAGAACCCTTCCCTGGATACGTCAGGTGCATGTGTATATGCATGTGATCTGAGTCTGGAGTGGATCATAGTATGAAGATCCTGTGGAGGGTGCCTGTCTCTGTCTCTCTGGTTTTTTTTTTGTTTTTTTTTTTCATTGAAGAAATAAACTTTAAAAAATTTTTTTAAATACTTTCTATATTAAACTTTTTAAATGTAGTATATTCTTACTCTCTAGTCACCATATTACATCATCATTATGTTTTATTATTTATGTGATTACTTGTTTAACATCTAACTCTACCATTAGATTGTATCTCCTTGTATGCAAGGACTTAGTTGTATTCATCATTGCATTTACAACTAGTGTTTAACAAGGCACTTTTCAATCAGAGATATTTAAATATTCACAGAACAAATAATGAGTGATGATAGAAAAAAATAAATGTTCTCCCCTCCCCCTAAGTGCTACTATAATTTGCTACATGGGATTCTTGGAATTAGCAGCTAAATTCAAAGATATTTTTGTTATTAGGATTCTATTTAACATGCCAGAATATATATTTACTGATAATTAAGTTAATTTTCCTCAGACAGGAAAGAAAAGGAACAACTTTTACATGTTTTTCTCTCTCTCATGTTATATAAATTTGCAAAATATCAATCACAGAATCCTGTTAGAAGGCGATTTAAAAATAATTTAGGTCAACTTCTAGACTCCTAATATTTTATTATTTTCAACAGATACTTATTGATGGTTTTCCATATACAAATGTTGAAAAAAGAATTAGATATGGAGCTTGCCTTTAAATAGAATATTCAATGTAGTGACAAAGACAAAATATATAAAGTATATTTTGTGTATTCAAAAGAAAAAGATTATTTCTAGCAGGAGAAGAGGAGGAAGTAGAGAATTTTAAGGAAGAAGTAATATTGTTTGGATCTTGAAAGATAAGCATTTAGTCTTGCAAAGATGAAGAGTAGGGAAAATCTTGCTCTGCAGAGAAACAGAATGAGCACAGAAGAGGAAAAACTGGTAAGAAAGAGCAAGTGGTTCATTTTTAAATGGAGCATATATTCCTTGGAAAGGAATGGTTGTGGGATGGCCCCAAAATAAAAACAAGATGGGGCCAGCAGGTGGTGTGGTGGTTAAGGTGCTGGACTCCCACATGGCCGGTGGTGATTTGAGTGTTAGACCAGTAGTGTGGTATTGCAGTGGTTAAGGGAGCCAGATCCCATATGGCCAACCAAATTCAAATCCTGGCACCTGCAACTTGAGAAACATGTTGGGTGTGTGGGCATGCATGTCCAAAATCCTGACATGATGAAGAAAGGGAGGTTAAAGAGAAGTGTGAATATATAAAGAATCATTTTTTACAAGTTTGGACTCCAAAGTGAGATTACCTGGTTTGAGATCTCAATTTAGAAATTTTTCAGTTATATAATTTGGGGTAAGTTATTTAACTTCTGTTTGCCTTAATCTCCTTGACTATAAACGTCAGATAATATTGGTACCTATCACAGGAAATTGTGAGGATTAACTGAGCTATTGGGTCATCAAGAAAGTCATAATGCATTTTTTGCATAGAAAGATATGTCATGACTTTCCTGATGACCTAATAATTTGTGTAAAGTACTTAGAATGATGCCTGGCACATAGTAAGTTCATTCGAGTGATAGCCATAATTATTATTAAATAACATGGAATTTCTATTTTATATAGTGAATAAAAATAAGATTATATTCTATATTTTCTAGAATCTAGCCATAGGGAGTAACTTTTAAATTTTTTTTATATGCCACAATATATGCCCTCTGCAGAAAAACTAGAGGTAAAAGTCACGAAAAATGTTACAAAGCCCTTCATTTATTCTCATTTATTTCTAGGTAAAGGAAAAGCAGGAGTCAGAACTGAAACTCAAATCATTTGTTCCTCCATATGTATGTATTATGACATTTTAAGCTCATGCTAATTTTAGAATTTATACTATTTTAAAATTGCAAACTAATTTCTTAATTTTCTGCATGTTGTAGGCTCTTCAGCCAGAATTATATTTGCTTCCTATAGTAGACCATTTAGGAAATGTTTATTCAGCATCATCAACAGTTACTTTAGATGAGCGGCAGACTAATAATGGTATTGCGGAGGCTGATGGAACAATCCAGGGACCAGTTAATGTAGCTTTGTCAAAAGAAGAACCTGGAAAAGATCCCAGTTTGTTAGAAAACACTTTGAAAGAACTTCTTAACAAGAATCAGGAAGAAGGTGATTTCAACTGGAATGGGAAAGACAAAGAGGTTATTATATTCAGTAGTACATTTTAGCAGTCAGGCCTGTGAACAAATTCTGGGGAAACCCAGGCTTACAAAACAGGCAGTATAAAAGAAAAGCTACAATTCAGTTTGGGAATTTTATAAAAACAATGTTGCCAGGTGGAGAAAAAAAAATTCAAGTACTATGTTAAAATAAAAACAAGATGGGGCCAGCAGGTGTGCTGATTAAGACGCTAGACTCCCACATGGCCAATGGTGATTTGAGTCTTAGCCCAGTGACTTGAAAATCACGTCACACCTGCACGCCCCAAATCCTGAGAGAATGGAGTAGGGATTGGGGCATGACCTTCCCCCTGGGGGGTATTTATAATTTCTCACTTTCCTCTCTCTCTGTCTCTCTCAGGCATATTTACGTTCTCTATGGTAAAAACCTACCAACAACAACAAAAAATAAGACTTTTCAAATAGTAATTTTAATCATTTTTTTTAATTAAAATATTTGATTTCTCCAAGGGACAACAAATATACTACCAGATTGAGGGATCTTTTGTTTAAATAGAACATATAGAATTTGCATTAATGTTTTAAAGACAGACTATAGTTTCTCTATGTGGAGAAATTCTGTTAAGTTGAAGGGGGATTTTATAAATGGAATGTATATGAATAATCAATGACATTTTATGCTTTGTATTTATGCCAGCATTTTCCTCAAACCTATGTCAAAAGATGCTGTTGGCTAGAGATTTCTTTTTTATTTTGGGAGAGGTTTTTTGCTATAGGGCGCATGTACGCTCGCCAGAAAGACAGAGACAAAAAGCGAGAAATCATCCCCTGGGGGCATGGCTATACCACAATCCCTTCTCCTCCATTCTCCTCTCAGGATCTTGGGCACGCATGCACTCACGCCTGGCGTGAGTTTAAGCCACCAGGTCCAGGACTTGAACTGCGATCGACTACATGGGAGTCCAGTGACATAGCCATTACGCTAACTGCTGGTCCCTTGTCTAGAGATTTCTGAAGACAATTAATTTTGAGTAAAACTCAACCTACTACCTCTTACTCACATTGTACGTAGAGGCGGGGAACCCTGCAACAAGAGTGTGTATGTGCACATGCGCATGTAGGGGTTATATGCCTGTTTAGTGCTGCCTAATTCCATGTTACCCAAATTTAATAAAAGATTTTTTTTCATATCAGTTAATTTTTTATGAAAATCACCTGGGAAATTGTCACTTCATATCTACACAGTCAAGTTTATGGGGATTCTGAGTCATAGGCCAAGATTTATTTGTGTATATAATACACACACACGCATGTACACACACATATAAAATTTCATTTTTGCTTTTTTAATACTCTGAACTTTAATACTCTGAATTTTATTTGCCATGGATGCACATTGACATCAGCTGGGAGAAAAGCTACTCCAAAAGAAAACCAGGTTGCAAAAAGTGAAATTGGAAATTCTGAGTTGCCACAACCATTGGAAGATGCAAATAATAGTTATTTTAACAACAAAAAAAGGTAATTAGTATAGATGCTGATTCCACATGTCATAATCTAACTATAAGAAAAACAAATATTGGGACAAGCAGGTGGTGTGGTGTTGAAGGCACTGGGCTTCCATATGGCTGACCGCAGTTTGAGTCTTGGACCTGGCAGCTTGCTTTCTCCCTCTCCCTCTCTCTCTCACTCTGGTAAGAACATGTACCCTATAGAAAATTTAAAAATAAATAAATTAATAAGAATAAATAAAGTTAAATAATTCAAAAAAAATGAATGTTTAGTAAATCGGTCAGAATGTTTGAGTTTCACATTAGTATCATTTCACTCAAAATTGTAGTAGACAACAGTTTTACATATAGTCTTTGGAAATTAAGGTTTTTACAAACAATTTTCATTCAAAAAAGAATTATAAAAAAGTTTCCAAAATTTTATTTCCATCTAGTTTATTTTTGTATACTAGGTATTGTAATTTGAATTTAGCTATAATATAATGAAATATGATTTATATATCAAATGTCATTTATGATGATTATTAATGACTTTGAAAGAAAATATGATCATAGGCTGACTTAAAATTTTTAGTATTTGTGTTTATATAATATTAAATATGTAAAATATGAAAAACTAACATTCACAAATCCATGTCTTAATATTACTTTTAAATCTTATTCTCTTTAAGTCAGTTTCTTGGGAAAAATGAAGATGACATAGCTGTCAATAGAAGACAGAATAAACAGGTATGATTTTAAATTTTTGTTTCAATGCATTATTGCAACATAATATTTATAGTAACACTGAAATGAAACTGAAGATTAAATTCATGTCTTAAATTTTCTGGCAACCTACTTTTGATATCAGCATTGTAAATGGTAGTCCCATTTTTGTTTCTGCTTTTATGAGTTAGCAAACAATATGACCAAATCAGGGCGGGGGGCAGAGAATTATCTCTCAATATCTTTTTGGATTATCTTCTCAAATTTTATCATTAGTGTTAAGGTACACTAACTTTCACTTAACAGGCAGCTTGCTAATATGTAATTTAATAAATTGATACCTGTACTTGATTAATTCCACTCTGTAGAAGAGATTTCTGTAATATGTTGAAAGGTGGTATAGCAGTGGTTACATGTTTATTACCAGTTAGAGACTACTGGCTATGTGACCTAGGCTGTGTTACCTCATTGAATAGCAGTGGCATAAAGGCATAAATGAAAACTACACAAGTCATCAATTTGTAACTTTGAATTTGTTCATCTAAAATTTCTGAATTTGATTTACTAGTTTAAGCAGTTTTGAGTGGTAAAAATAGTTTTACTAAATTGACAAACAAGTTGACAGAAACCTGGACTATCTGGTGCTTACAAAAAATCCAAAGATCTCAAGAGATAAAAATTTTGAGAGAACTTGTATTCCCTTTATCTCTTTAACCAAACATTGAGGAATATATTTGAAAGGCAAGCCAAGTATTCCTGGGTGCACGGGGGTGGGGGGGGGCCCTATAATTGCTGTTTTATCTAATGAAGATGGGACTCTTTTATTGATTTCCTTAGAAATGACAGGATCCCCAGACCTTTCCTTATTAGTGGACAATAACTTCAATCTTATTATTGTCCCTAGGTACCCTGAATACTTTTGCGTTCCATCAGTAGGGTGGAAAACTAGAGGTTTTCTTCATAAGTAACTGGATTCTAGATTATTTAGATGTCATTCATGTTTGTGTTGGATTTTTCTGTATCCTTAATAGCAGGTGTTCCTACAGAGGAAGAGGAACAAGGAATGGTGTTGGGATCTTGGATCTTGGGGTCACTTATTATGTTTCTTGGTCTGAGAGCACCCTCTTCTGTTGTTGTGGTGAAGTGCAATGATTATTTTCCTTTCTTTTTAGTAAGTAAGGCCTTTTGGAGAAGGGTTCTGTTTTTATTGTATTCTTCGCTACTGATTTAATTCAGTAGAACTCTTTACTTTTTTTTTTTTTTTTTTTGAGAGGTTTTTGCTATAAGGTGCGTGTGCTCACCAGACAGACAGAGAGAAATAGAGAGACAGAAAGCGAGAAATCACCCCCCAGGGGGGATGGCCACTCCGCAATCCTTTCTCCTCCATTCTCCTCTCGGGATCTCGGGCATGCATGCACACGCGCCCAGCGTGAGTTTTAAGCCACCAGGTCTGGGACGCGAACCACAGTCAACTATGTGGGAGTCCAGCAACATAACCATTACGCTAACTGCTGGTCCCCATAATTCAGTAGATCTCTTATCTTGGCCATTTTCTTCTTTCATCTTACCAGACTAGCCCCCAAGGAACACTTCTCCTTCTCAAAGTGTTTTCCTCTCTCCCAGAAGCCATGTCTTCCCATGATTACTACCTCTTTTGGATCCCTCACAGGAGTGCTCTGTCCATCCCCTTGCTCTCAGTATTTCTCCACTTCCAGACTAAACTGTGGTTGATGCTTCCTGTGTTATCTGTGAAGTGCTCTGAGATATATAACCACTTCTGTTTCTTTGCACAGGTGTACACTCTCGACCACCCTCTGGCCAGGGTCATTTCTTCACTTGATAGAATCCTGTGTCCCACTATGCTGTGGATATAAAATGGGTGCTTTTATTTGCCTTCCTTTTCTGGTAGTTGGAAAGGTGTGTAGGGAGATTATAATTTAGATGTTTACCATCATCCTCTCTTTTCTTTTTTTTTTTTTTTTTTTGAGAGGTTTTTGCTATAAGGTGCGTGTGCTCACCAGACAGACAGAGAGAAATAGAGAGACAGAAAGCGAGAAATCACCCCCCAGGGGGGATGGCCACTCCGCAATCCTTTCTCCTCCATTCTCCTCTCGGGATCTCGGGCATGCATGCACACGCGCCCAGCGTGAGTTTTAAGCCACCAGGTCTGGGACGCGAACCACAGTCAACTATGTGGGAGTCCAGCAACATAACCATTACGCTAACTGCTGGTCCCCATAATTCAGTAGATCTCTTATCTTGGCCATTTTCTTCTTTCATCTTACCAGACTAGCCCCCAAGGAACACTTCTCCTTCTCAAAGTGTTTTCCTCTCTCCCAGAAGCCATGTCTTCCCATGATTACTACCTCTTTTGGATCCCTCACAGGAGTGCTCTGTCCATCCCCTTGCTCTCAGTATTTCTCCACTTCCAGACTAAACTGTGGTTGATGCTTCCTGTGTTATCTGTGAAGTGCTCTGAGATATATAACCACTTCTGTTTCTTTGCACAGGTGTACACTCTCGACCACCCTCTGGCCAGGGTCATTTCTTCACTTGATAGAATCCTGTGTCCCACTATGCTGTGGATATAAAATGGGTGCTTTTATTTGCCTTCCTTTTCTGGTAGTTGGAAAGGTGTGTAGGGAGATTATAATTTAGATGTTTACCATCATCCTGTGGGAACTTGACTATGTAACTTAATAAAATAAAATAAGCTAGAAAAAGAATAAAACAAAATAGAAATAAGATTTTCACGAAAATAAATGTAGTAACTAATCATTTACACAAGAAGAAACTTATAAGTGAAAACAACTTAAGCTATATAAAGTGCTAGTGAAAAAAACATCAACACGTTAATGTTTGAGGTAGTAAATTAAAAAAAGGGTCAAAACACAAAACTTTTGGAAAAATTAATGAAATGTAAACACAAACCAGAGGAGATACGATATATGAGAATAAAATGCAAAATTATATGCTAAGTTGTAGAAAATGTGATAAAATCACCAATTTTCTGCATAAATATAAATGATCAAAATTGACTCAAGATGGGGCCAACAGATGTCATGGTGGCTAAGGTGCTGGACTGCCACATGCTGATGATGGTTCAAGACCCAGACCTGGTGGTGTGCTTTCTTACTTCCTTTCTCTCTGGTGAGTGCACATGCCCCATAGCAAATGAAAAAATAGTAATAATAACAAAATTATTATTTTTTTTTTTGGAGAGGTTTTTGCTATAGGACGCGTGTGCTCGCCAGACAAACAGAGAGAGACAGAGAGACAGAAAGCGAGAAATCACCCCCCAGGGGGGCTGGCCACGTCGCAATCCCTTCGCCTCCATTCTCCTCTTGGGATCTTGGGCATGCACACACATACGCCCAGCGTGAGTTTAAGCCACCAGGTCCTGGACTCAAACCACGGTCGACTACATGGGAGGCCAGCGACATAGCCATTATGCTAACTGCTGGTCCCAAAATTCTTTTTAAAAAATTGACTCAAGATGAAAAAATTCAGTAGCCATCTTAGAAAAAATAAACTTATCATGACAAGTAAATAAGACCAGAAATCTTAAAATGAAATTATGCTTGGAAAGAAAAATAATGGATTATTATTTTTTTAAGTTTGAAATGTCTGTGTATAATGCCTAAGTAATAGTGAGGTAGAGACTCTGGAGCATGAGAGCGTCTGTAGCTATAAACACAGAATTTAGAGTTCATCGTCAAATATGTAAAAAAAAAAAAAAAAAAAAAAAAAAACCACATTGCTTGTATGCATCATCAAATGCTTATAGACAAGTGAAAAAAGAATGTGTTACCTTATCAGCTCTTATTGACTTTCATGTTTGCTTACAGACAAATGAAAAAGAGTGTGTCACCCTACCAGATCTTATTGATTTTCCTTCTCTTCCTTGTCAACCTGTCCTTTCTTCAGGAATGACTGATCTCTCTTTATTACAGATTGAAAGTAAGTATGGTCACACCATAAGTACAGTTAAGTAATGTTTATGTGGAGTTATTGTTTGATGGGTTCAAAGGTTTAGTATGGAAAGATAAAAGTTCTGAATATGGTTGGTAATGATGATAACACACAATGTAAATGAACTTCATGCCCACTGAACTATACATTTAAAAACTGTTAAAGTGGGGGCTAGCAGGTGTTGTAGTGATTAAGGTGCTGGACTCACACATAGCCGGCCACGATTTGAGTCCTGGACCCAGTGGCTCGAAACTCATATCAGGTGCATGTGCATGTGTTCCCAAAATCCTGAGAGGAGAATGAAGAAGGGATTGTGGCCTGGCCTTCCCCCAAGGGAGGTGATTTCTCACTTTCTCTCTCTCTTTTTCTCTGTGTCTTTGGTGCAAACACATGCCCTATAGCAAAAGAAAAAATCTCTAAAATAAATTGTTAAAGTGGTAACTTTTGTTATGTGTATTTTACAATAAAAAGTTGACTTATATAAATTTTATATTGATTACTGCACTAATTATACTACTCACTAATATAATTTTGTATAAAATATATACTCCAAGGGGCCAACAGGTGGCATGGTGGTTAAGGGTGTTAGACTCCCATATGGTTGACTGTGGTTTGAGTCCCGCACCTGTATATATATACACACACACACACACACACACACACACACTCTAAAATATGCATTTCCATATAAGATCTGAGTACAATAACTTTTAGTTTAAGATAAATTTATCAAAATAATTAAACAAAATATAGGCACAATGACTTGAACTTTACACATACATATATTATTAAATGCAAAGAGAAACACTAGTTTATAAAACCCCTTATGTATCATTCTTGAAAACTGAAATGTCTCCTCTGCACTTTCCATAGTGGTAAATGCTGTACTGCAGCAAGAAAAAAAGACTTGGGGTAAAAATCATTCTGTCTGTTTTAGACACTTTTAAGTTTTACACTTCGTAATTTAGAATATGAACTCTTTAACCTTGTAGAAACTGATACATCTGGATTCTCTTTATAGGAAAGAAGATTATTGAACAAATGAAACAAGTAAAGGAAGAAAGAACATATCTGGAAGGTATTAGAGAAGAACTCATTAAAAAAGCTGAAAAGCTATTTGAACAAAGCAAACTGAAGCGATGTTATGGTAAATTTATTACTGTACCTTTTATTATTCTTTATTGCTATAAAGCATACTTAAGTTTTATAAAATTGATACCTTTGGAATAAATGATAAAGAACCAATATGATAAAGAATAAATTGTAAACATTTTATCTATGGAGGTTGAAAAAATAAGAAAAAATATTTTAAAGACACATGTCTTTCACTTTGATAGTTTTAACTACATAAATAATTTCATATAAAATTATAAGGAACAGTAAAGAAAATAAATATGTCGTTTTGGTACAAGTAAAACGACTTTTTCTTTAGTTGTTTGGGTTTTGTTTGTTTGTTTGTTTGTTTTGCTATAGAGTGTGTGTGCTCACCAGAGAGAGAGAGAGCGAGAGAGAGAGAGAGAGAAAGAGAGGAAAAGTGAGAAGTCACCCCCTGGCAGGAAGGCCACACTGTAATTCCTTTCCCTCTTAGGATTTTGGACATACACACACACGTGCCCAGCATGTTCTTCAAGCCATCCAGTTCAGGACTTTAACTGCTCAATTGGCCATGTGGGATCAAGCTGCTATGCCACATACTGTCCTGGTTATTTTTTTTTTTTTTTATAAAGACTTACCAGAAGGCCAGCAGATGTCTAAGGCCAGCAGATTGGTTAAGGGCGCTGGTTTCTCACATTGCTGACTGCAGTTTGAATCCCGGACCTGATGGTTTTCTTTCTCACTTTCTCTCTCACTCTTTCTCATTCTGTCCCTCTCTGGTCAAGTTAAAAAATAAATAAAGTTTAATAAAATAATTCTGTAAAAAAAAGATTTTTCAGAAAGAATTACATGTTTAAAGGAAAACATTATTGTGGTTCCTGAAATTATCACTATCTTAACTATATTTCTAGGCAAATTCTTTATTATCTAACATATGTTTGTAACTTAGCCCTAATATTCTCAGCTAATAAGGGGTAGAAGAGAAAAGGAGGAAAATGGTTTAAACTTGTATTAACTCTGTGATCCTTCCCAAGTTGAAAATTTTATTCCTTTAATCACATGAAAACTCTAGGCTTTATTGTTGTTCTTTGGGGTTTTTTTTGTTTTGTTTTTGTTTGTTTTTTTGCTATAGGGCGCGTGCACTCGCCAGACAGAGAGAGACACAGAGACAGAAAGCGAGAAATCACCCCCCAGGGGGGATGGTCATGCCGCAGTCCCTTCTCCTCCATTCTCCTCTCAGGATCTCAGGCACGCACACACACGCACCCGGCGTGAGTTTTAAGCCACCAGGTCTGGGATGTGAACCGCAGTCGACTACATGGGAGTCCCGCAACATAGCCATTATGCTAACTGCTGGTCCCTGTTTTGTTTGTTTTTTGTAGCCTATGATGGTTGGAAGAAAAAATACTATGAAACAAAGAAAGTCACAGCATCATTGGAGGAGGTTTTAACAAAACTTCGAGAAGATTTGGAACTTTACTATAAAAAATTGCTTATGCAACTTGAAGCTAGGGAGATCAAGATGAGACCAAAGAATCTGGCAAATATTACAGACTCTAAGGTACTTACTCAGTGTGTCTCCCTTCTACTAGAATAGTTCTGCTCAAAAGACATGCTTTATAGTTACTGGTATTATCTTATTGAGGATGCTTTGGACTCCAAGTAACAAAATAATATGAAAATTCAGGACTGGGTCTAGCAGGTGGCATAGTGTTTAAAGCATTGGACTTTTCACATGGCTGACCAAGGTTTGAGTACCAGACCTGGTGACTTGCTTTTTCACTTTCCCTTTCTCTCTCTCTGGCCTCACTGGTCAAATTTTAAAATAAAAATAATAACAAAGAGAATAAAATAATTCTTTTTTTAAAAAAAGATAATTCATGACCTATTGAAATGGGAGATATGTTGCCAAGTATGCCAAGTAGATACCATCAGCAACTTAACGATATCTTTAAGGGTCATCTTAATGATGTCTTTTTTTTTTTTTTTTTTTTAACCCTTAGATTTTTGTTATAGAGCATGTGTGCTCACCAGAGAGAGAGAGATAGAAAGCAAGAAAATACCCCCAGGGGGGATGGCCAAGTTGAAATCTCTTTTCCTCCATTCTGCTCTTGGGATTTTGGGCATGCACACACACACACACACACACACACACACACACACACACACAGAGACATACACACCCAGTGTGGGTTTTAAGTCACGAAGTCCAGGACTCAAACCATGGTTCACTACCTGAGCCAGTGACGTAATCATTACGCCATCTGCTGGTCCCTTAATGATATCTTTAAAGGCTGAGGTGTTTCAGGTCTTTCTTCCATTCTATGGATTATCAGAAAAGTCATGACATATTTTTCCATGCAAAAATACAACCCAGTATTTTTAGCATTGGCTTTATCATAAGATTCATTTTTCTTTTTCTTTTTTTCTTAAAATTTATTTAATTTTATTTATTCATTCATTTATTTTATTTTGGCCAAAGAGAAACACACACAGAGAGAAATGGGAAAGTGAGAAAGCAGGCCACCAGGTCTACGACTCAAACCGTGGTCAGCCACGTGTGAATGCCCAGCTCCTTAACTACCATGCCACCCGCTAGTCCCCTAAGACTAGTTTTTCTAATAGTAGCATTAGGGTGCCATGAGCAAATAGGGTTATATATCGTCAGAGGGGGAGAAACTTCTCTTTACATCAGGTAATACATAAATCTTTCTCTAGCCTGTGTGAGATCAACCAGGCTTACCTAGATCAACAATATTGTACTTGTCGGGGATCAGCGGATAGCATAACGGTTATGTCATTAGACTCCCATGTAGTCGACCACGGTTCAAGTCCCTAACCCAGTGGCTTAAAACTAATGCCAGGCACATGTGCATGCATACCCAAAATCCTAAGAGTAAAATGGAGGAGAAGGGATTGCAGTATGGCCACACCCCAGGGAGTGATTTCTCACTTTCTGTCTCTCTGATGAGCACACATGCCCTATAGCAAAAATATCTAAAAAGTTAATAATAACAATGATAATAATAATAATAATAATAATATTGCAGTTGCCAAGGACTTAGTGTATAGTTAGGATCTACCTTTGTACCTGGCATAGGCTCATACTTCCTGACTCTATGGGAAAGAGACAAAATAGATAGTACTTGACTAAGTAGGACAGGTAACAATGTTCTCTACAGTCATTTCATTTGAGACAAGAGGCTACAACACCCCTGGCATTTCAAGGTATTAGTATTCTAAAGAAATTAGGAAATCTTATGACATTTTGATCAATTCATTTTTTTCTTCAGATAGTCTCAAATTTTTATTATTGACTAATTCCACTGTGTAATTAAACAGACTAAAAAATTCCAGAGGCCATTTAAAAATTTAATTTTTGTTGGATCAATCCCATTTACACAAAAAAAAGATTTCAAAATATGCTAATTATGATTAAGACTAAGGATTTAACTTTAGACATGATGAGATATTAAAAGTTTACTATTTCATATTTTAAGTTTATTTATTCATTCCATGAGAGAGAGAGGAAGACAGACACATAGCATCCTTGACAGGGTATTACTCGATTCTGTGATCCACCGCTTAGCCTCGTTCATGAGCACATGCGTGACTGCAGTAGGCAGGGAGGTTTCTAGACATGAGCCAGTAGCCTTCCCATGTGGGTCTGCCTCCCAGAACTGCGTTTTACCACTGTACTACCACCTGATCCCCCCCACCCATTTTATATTTTACATAAATTTAATCTAAAATACAGATAGGTTCAAGTAACGGTTTGTCCATATTAGTTGATACTTTCAGCATATTTGATATTTTATCTTACTGGTTCTATCAATATATTTACAAAAGCAGTTTAAAATTTCTTTTTCTAGGAATTATTTTATTTAACTACATTTATTTATTTTAATTTGACCAGAGAGGGACAGAGTGAGAGAGAGGTTGAGAGAGAGAAGGATCTGGGGAGATAGTGAGAAAGAAAGCTGCCAGGTCCGGGACTTGAACCATGGTCAGCCATATGGGAGTCCAGCTCTCTTAACTACCATGCCACCAATTGGCCCCAGCAGCTTAAAATTCTAAAATGACTTTCTCAGTGAAACTATTATACTTCATAAAATTTTCTGGGTAAAAATAACCAAAAAATATATTTATTTTAAACAGATTTTCTAATATTAAAGAGGTTTTCTTATATAAGATATCATATTTCATTATTAAGTATTTAAAAGTATCCTAATCTGATTCAGTTTATAATTATGCTAATTCCTAAAGTCTTGCCAATATCTTAAACCTAGCTTATTTACTTCATAGTAATAGTTTTTGGCTTTTACACTGCCAATTTAGTGTTAAGTTTTATAAATATCTATTTCTTTTTAAATAATAAAAGAATAATAGTAGAAAAGAAAAACTAGTACTTAAAATGTAAAAAATCAACAGAAACAGTAATTTACTCCAAAGCAATGTTTATTTTATGCAATAGGTTATTTTCATGATTTGCTCTTTTGATATTGTTATACCTTCATAGCTTAAGTTTGCAAGGCAGTTAAACATAAAAATGTACAGATATTATACTGAATAAATACATCTTTATATATGTTACACAGAATTACCTTATAATCCAGATCACTGAGGTACAGCATGCAATTGACCAACTTAAGAGAAAATTGGATACTGACAAAATGAAACTTATAATAGAAGTTAAGGTAATTTACATTTCTCTTATTCTAATTTATAACATGTATCTTGAAATAAAAAATGTTGGGTTTTTTTAAATTTTTAAATAATTATTTTATTTATTTATGTATTCATTCATTTATTTCTTAATCTGACCAGAGACAGACAGAGGGTGAGAGAGAGAAAGGAAGTGAGAAAGCAAGCCACCAGATTCAGGACTCGAACCCTGGTCGGCCATGTGGAATTGTCCAGCGCCTTAACCACCATGCCACCTGCTGGTCCCAATATGTTGGTGTTTTAACTTTGGGTAATAATACTATTAAGGATAGAAGCCAGCAAGTGGCATAGCGGTGATGGTGCAGAACTCCCACATGGCTGACAGCAGTTTGAATCCCGGACCCAGTGGCTTGAAACTCACGCCAGGTGCGTGTACATGTGTGCCCAAAATTCCAAGAGGAGAATAGAGGAGGGATTCCAGTGTGGCCATCCCTCCTAGAGAGTGATTTCTCTCTTTCTTTCTGTCTCTCTGTGTGTCTCTGGTGATTACATGCACTGTCCAGCAAAAACTCTAAATAAAAAAATTTTTAAAAATAGGGACCAGCAGTTGGCGTAATGGTTACATCAGTGGACTCCCATGTAGTCGACCACAGTTTGAGTCCTAGACCACGGTTCAAGTCCTGGAACCAGAGGCTTAAACTCACACCGGGTGTTTGTGCATGCGTGCCCAAGATTCCGAGAGAAGAATGGAGGAGAAGAGATTGTGGTGTGGCCATCCCTCCTGAGGGATGATTTCTCGCTTTCTGTCTCTCTGTCTCTCTCTGTCTTTCTGGCAAGTGCATGCCCCCTATAGAAAAAACCTCTTCAAAAAAAAAGAAAACCTAAATTCCATGAAAAGTTGCATGTTATAACAAAGTCAAACTAAAATTTACTAAGAAGAATTAAAGGAAAAGGACTCTGTGAGTCGGTATAGTCTCAAAAAATATTTTTTAAGTAGTAGATTTCCTGTATTTAGAGTCATAAGTCTGAAAAGCCAGTGAGCTTTCATCTGAACTCCAGCTGAACTTTTCCCCCTTTCTTGGGTAATTATCTCACTTTGATTATATTTATATATGTTCTATTTTTTGTATGAATCATGAGTCTCTATTAGACATGTTACTAAGTCTTCTACAAAAGCTGTGCCTTAGTTAACTTTGTTACTCCATAGAACCTTTTATATAGTAGATGCCTAGTAGAGGGTTCTGGTAGAATAAATACTTACGTGATAAGAATTATGTAAAATCATCATAACCCCATAGGGAAAAATCTCAAAATACAGATGTCCCCAGAAATCTCTTTTGTTGGGGACCAGCAGTTAGTGTAATGGCTATGTCCCTGGACTCCCACGTAGTCGACTGTGGTTCGATTCCTGAACCCGGTGGCTTAAACTCATGCCGGGCGTGTGTGCATGCATGCCCAAGATCCCGATAGGAGAATGGCGACGGGCATGGCTATCACCCCGGGGGGAGATTTCTTGCTTTCTATCTCTCTGTCTTTCTCTGTCTGTCGTGTGATCTTACCGACCCTATAGCAAAAACCTCTTCAAAAAAAAAAAAAAAAAGCTCTTTTGTTGAACAGAAAGTAGAAGAGGGTTATACCATTTCACACATATATCCACACAGAACAAATAAACCAGAATGATAATTCTATGAAAGTTCTCAACTCATGGGGCTGGCAAGTGGCGTGGTGGTTAAGGGCACCAGACTCCCACATGACTGACCACGGTTCAAGTCCTGGACCTGGTGGCTTGCTTTCTTACTTTCTCCCTCTCTGTCCCTCTCTGGCCAAATTAAAATAACTAACTAAATAAATAAATAAATAAAGTTAAGTAAAATAATTCTTAAAAAAAAAAAGTTCTCAACTTATTTCTTTATTTGCAAGTTTTATGACACACAATAATTCCTTTCTATTAGTAGAACTAGCATTGTCCAGTAGACCTTTCTGTCATAACAGATGTATCAGCAGAATCCAGTGTGATAGGCACCAACCACCTATGGATATTGAGCACTTGAAATGTAACTAAGGAACTGACTTTACATTTTATTTTAATTAATTAAATTTAACAGTGACATATGATAACTGGCTACTACATTGGACAGTGCAGTTTTAGATTCTTTTGCCTAGCTGGATTCTTGAGCCCTGACTCAGCACTAAGAAGCTTAGAAAAGGGCAAAAGACAATTTTTAGCAAAGTATTATGAGTTAGACAATCTTACACAGTATGCACTCAAGGAATAATTTATTCAGTAAATGGAAATTCTGAATGTATTCAGCATATGAAGAGAAGGCCAGCAGGGAAACTTGTACGCTTAAAGAGAGTCAGGTGGGTAGAGGAGTAATAAAATGCCATCAATCTTTTGGTTAGGAATCTTCTGTGCTCTTTTTCTTCTAGAAAGCCATGTACATTAGGTCCTACCATCTTTATATATTTTAACCTTATAAATATTTCTTTTGACTAGAACTTGTTGTAATTGTTGGTACATGTCCCTGGACTCCCACGTAGTCGACTGTGGTTCGATTCCTGAACCCGGTGGCTTAAACTCATGCCGGGCGTGTGTGCATGCATGCCCAAGATCCCGAGAGGAGAATGGAGAAGGGATTGCGGCATGGCTATCACCCCGGGGGGAGATTTCTTGCTTTCTATCTCTCTGTCTTTCTCTGTCTGTCTGGTGAGCTTACACGCCCTATAGCAAAAACCTCTTCAAAAAAAAAAAAAAAAAGCTCTTTTGTTGAACAGAAAGTAGAAGAGGGTTATACCATTTCACACATATATCCACACAGAACAAATAAACCAGAATGATAATTCTATGAAAGTTCTCAACTCATGGGGCTGGCAAGTGGCGTGGTGGTTAAGGGCACCAGACTCCCACATGACTGACCACGGTTCAAGTCCTGGACCTGGTGGCTTGCTTTCTTACTTTCTCCCTCTCTGTCCCTCTCTGGCCAAATTAAAATAACTAACTAAATAAATAAATAAATAAAGTTAAGTAAAATAATTCTTAAAAAAAAAAAGTTCTCAACTTATTTCTTTATTTGCAAGTTTTATGACACACAATAATTCCTTTCTATTAGTAGAACTAGCATTGTCCAGTAGACCTTTCTGTCATAACAGATGTATCAGCAGAATCCAGTGTGATAGGCACCAACCACCTATGGATATTGAGCACTTGAAATGTAACTAAGGAACTGACTTTACATTTTATTTTAATTAATTAAATTTAACAGTGACATATGATAACTGGCTACTACATTGGACAGTGCAGTTTTAGATTCTTTTCACTAGCTGGATTCTTGAGCCCTGACTCAGCACTAAGAAGCTTAGAAAAGGGCAAAAGACAATTTTTAGCAAAGTATTATGAGTTAGACAATCTTACACAGTATGCACTCAAGGAATAATTTATTCAGTAAATGGAAATTCTGAATGTATTCAGCATATGAAGAGAAGGCCAGCAGGGAAACTTGTACGCTTAAAGAGAGTCAGGTGGGTAGAGGAGTAATAAAATGCCATCAATCTTTTGGTTAGGAATCTTCTGTGCTCTTTTTCTTCTAGAAAGCCATGTACATTAGGTCCTACCATCTTTATATATTTTAACCTTATAAATATTTCTTTTGACTAGAACTTGTTGTAATTGTTGGTACAAAAAAAAAAAAGGACAAATAAGAAAAAAGAGAACGAAGTTTTCAGTTTACAGATGAGGAGGAAAATCCTATATTTAACCACAGAGCCAGATTGGTACATAGCGGATATTATACCCAGTATTTATTGATTCCCGAATGATCCCCCAAACAATCCTATCTATAAGATTTAGGACTAAGGTTAAAAAAAAAAAAAAAATTCTAGCCTGAGTCTGTTGCTACCATATTTATTCAAAGTAATGTAGCGAAAGTAGCACTTCTCAGCTTAATGTGATAACATCTGAGATTCTGTTAACACATGCAGGATCTGGTAGGTCTAGATGAAGCGCAAAATTCACCAGTCCTAGCCAGCTCCCAGGTAATGTTAACGCCCCTGGTCCACAAGTAGTACTTGCATAGCAAGGGCTCTGATACCAGGTTGTTTAAGTTTGAATCCTGGCTGTGCCACTTACTAGTTTTGTACCTAGGGCAAATTACTTAATCTCTAGGGGTCTCAGTTTCTTCACCTGTCAATGGGCATAAATAATAACTGCCTCAATAAAATTTTTAACAAAACCACAGGGGTCAATACATTTAAAACAGTGCTTGCCATGCATAATGTAAACACTATTCTATTTCTTAAATATCTATTCAGTTCCTAAGGATTAGAAATTTGTTTTTTCCTTTACACATTGAGAACAGATTTTGAAGCTTTAGCCAAAAATGTCTCACTATATTTTTACAAACCATTTAATTATATTTGCCTTACATGTTAATAAAAGAAATTATCGCATATCTAGCAGCATCCATATACCTATCTGTAGACCTATTAAATAGGATTTATGACCTACACATTTACTGTCATAATCCAGTAGGAATGAAGGCACTGAAGGCAAATGAGACAATTACAAAAACCCTGTTTACGTGAATATTATGATATGCTTTTAGAAGGTTATGATGAAGTTCATTGTTATTTTTAAGAATTTATTTCTTTATCTTTTAACCTGATCAGAGAGGGACAGAGAGAAAAAGAGAAAGAAAGTGAGAAAGCAAGCCGCCAGTTCTGGGACTTGAACCGTGGTCAGCCAGTGCCCTTAACCACCATGCTACCCTACCAGGCCTGATGAAGTTCATTTCTTAATTCTTTTTTTTTTTTTCATTTTATCTAGAGAATTTTGTTTGTTTGTTTTGTTTTTGTTTTTGTTTTGTTTTTTGCTGTAGGGAGTATGCAGTTGCCAGAGCAATAGAGAGAGATAGAAAGTGAGAAATCACCCTCTAGGGGGGTGGCCATGCCTCAATCCCTTCTCCTCCATTCTCCTTTCAGGATTTTGGGCACAGTATGAGTTTCAAGCTGCTGGGTCCGGGACTTGAACTGCGATCAGTTATGTGGGAATTCAACAATGTAATAACCATTATACCATCTGCTGGTCCCATCATTTTTTTTTTAAAGAGATATTTTTTACTATAAGGCCCATGTACTCACTGGAGTCACAGAGACAGAAAGTGATAAATCACCCCCCAGAGGGGTTGGCAATACTGCAATCCCTTCTCCTCCATTCTCCTCTCAGAATTTTGGGCATGCATGTACATATGGCTGGAGTGAGACTTTTTTTAAAAAACTTTTTTTTTAAGAATTATTTTATTTAACTTTATTTATTTACTTATTTATTTTCGTTTTGACCAGAGAGTACAGAGCGAAAGAAAGTGAGACACCAATCCACCAGGTCCGAGACTCAAACCGTGGTGGGCCACGTGGGAGTCTAGTGCCCTTAACCACCATGTCACTTACCAGCCCCAACAGTGTGAGTTTTAAGCCACCAGGTTTGGGACGTGAACCATGGTAGACTATGTGGCAGTCCAGAAACGTAACCATTACACCATCTGCTGATACCATAATTTTTAAAATTCTTTTTATAGATGAGAAAACAGGCAGTTTCAGATTTACGAACGTTGAAAGCTGAACTGGCCCAGAAGAAAATTAACACATCTTTACAATCTCAATTAGGTATGTTAATTTAAAATTTTATTTGTCAATAGATTTAAATATTTTTTTGAACAGACTTGCTTAACCACTGTTTTCCTTGGTAATATTTTATTTAAATAGGGCTTATCTTTAGTTTTCATGTGATATATTACATGTATATATTACAGAGTATTTCAGGACATATTATTAATAGACATAAAATACCAAAATAATGACTGTTTAGTTATTTTTGACATTTCAAATCTATTACCTATTATTTTGTAATACTGTATTTTATAATTTTCATTCTTAATAATCTTTTTTTTCTAAGTTTTTGCCATAGGGTGTGTGCATCCGACAGAGATAGAGACTGAGGGGGTGATTTCTTACTTTTCCTCTCACTGTCTCACCACCACACCACCTGCTGGCCCCAAAGGTGTAGATTTTTAATTTACATGTTTATAGGAACTAACATAGATGCAACACAATGTTCTTAATCTCCTTGAGAAAGGAAAGAGACTTCAGTACATTCAGAAAAGTTCTTTGCATAAAATTGATCTTTTTTTTTTTTTTTTGAGAGGTTTTTGCTATAGGGCACGTGCGCTCACCAGACAGAGAGACAGAAAGTGAGAATCACCCCCCGGGTGGGATGGCCATGCAGCAATCCCTTCTCCTCTCAGGATCTTGGGCACGCACGCACACGCGCCCGGCGTGAGTTTTAAGCCACCGGGTCCGGGACGTGAACCGCGGTCGACTACATGGGAGTCCAGCAACATAGCCATTACGCTAACTGCTGGTCCCTATAAAATCAATCTTTTAAAGGAAGAACTAGTTGAGAAACTAATCAGTGTCTAGATAATTACAAGTAAAATGCAGGAACAGAAAAAGAAAACTAGCCAGCAAATAATTGATCAATTATATGTATAAAATTATAGTGAATAGATTCAAGTTCAATACCCACTTATTCCTATTGTAAATATTTTATCAGTCTCATAGAAATAATTTAGTTGGAAAATACTAGGTAGCTCTAAATTACTAATTTTTTAATAACTAGTTTTTTTCCTCTATGTTTTGTGAGTTCAGTTAATCTTCTGTATTTTTTCCTCCCACATACTATGTGGAGGTTAACCTAAGCTTAGTTTAACATGAGTACAGGATGGAGTCAGGAAGCAGAAAAATTATTTTCATCAGTGTGATGAGCCTAAATAAGAAAACACTGAAAAAAAGTAGAACACAAAGTGCTTCTCGAAGGTTACATTTATTAAAATCTACCCTAAGCCAATTTCAGCAGTCATTTGTACTTGTATATTTTAATGTCATAGGGGAAAATTTAACATGATAAGACTCTAAAAGCAATTCTTCCTAATTATAGTGTTGAAATATCTCATAGAAGGATATTTAATATAGTCAGTTGACTTGTTCCTTGCTTGTATGTTCCTGGATACTGAAGATATAAATATGTATGTCTTTTTCAAAGTCAAACAATCAAAAGCATTTATTTATTCTTTAGTTATTAGCATATCCCAAAATAGTATAAAGTGGGAACCAGCAGTTAGCGTAATGGCTATGTCGCTGGACTCCCACGTAGTCGACCGCGGTTCACGTCCCTGACCCAGTGGCTTAAAACTCATGCCGGGCGCATGTGCGTGCGTGCCCAAGATCCTGAGAGGAGAATGGAGGAGAAGGGATTGCAGCGTGGCCATCCCCCCTAGGGGGGGATTTATCGCTTTCTGTCTCTATGTCTCTCTCTGTCTGGCGAGCGCACGCGCCCTATAGCAAAAACCTCTCCAAAAAAAAAAAATATATATATATAGCAACACAATAAAATGTATACATTTTTATTTCTTCAATGAATAGATCAATTTATTCAGATTATTTTTCTATATCTTAGTAGTTTGGTAAAAGATGTTCATATCTGTCACAGCTTTGGCTTTAAGACTTTCCACATTTCTTCAGTTTGCTGCTTGGCTATAACATCTCCAGAATAGTCAAGACAGTTTGCATTCCACATGCCAATGCCTCGTAAGCCATACTTTTGTATATTTGCCACCTTTAAAGAAATGCTCTGAGGGTTATCATACCACACTTGATGAAAATGGCCAGCAGGATCCTATACAAATAAATCAGAATAGAAATTTAAAGCATTCAGTACAATAAGGAAAATTTCTTAAATTCTGTAATTCAAGGATACAGTGAAATAATGAAAAATTTAGGGCACAGTACTTTCCCACTCTATCCATATGTGATACTTTCTTGATATTACTGCTTATGGAATTTTTTTTTTAAGTTTTGCTATAGGGTACGTACCCTTGTCAGAGAGAGACAGGGAGAGAGAAAGTGAGAAAGCACCCCGCACAGGGGATGACCGTATCACAGTCCCTTCTCTTTCACTCTCCTCTTAGGATTTTGGGCATGCACACATGCACTCAGCTTGATTTGTCAAGCAGTCTTTTTTACGTTATTAACTGAGGAAAAATAGATGCCCTGTAAAGCTCTTATGTTTAAGAAACAAAAAGAAGTCAGAATGAGCCAAATCAGCACTACAAGGTAAATGCCTAATTTCCCATCAAAATTTTTGCAAAATTGCCCTTGTTTGATGAGAGAAATGAGCTATGAGCATTGTTGTGGTAAAGACTCTCAGGTAAAGCATTCCTTGGTGTTTTTCTGCTACAGCTTTGGCTAATTTTCTCAAAACACTCTCATAATACTGTCCTTTGGCCCTCCAGAAAGGTCAACAAGCAAAATGCTTTGACCATCCCAAAAAACTGTTGCCATGACCTTTACTCTTTACCAGTCTGCTTTTCCTTTAGCTAGACTACTTCCACTTCCTGATAGCCATTGCTTTGTGCTTTGTCTTTGGGGTCTTACTGGAAAAGCCATGTTTTATTTCCCATTATAATTTTTAAACAAATGCTTTAGGATCTTGATCTTGGCTACTCAAGCACTTCTGCACATATAACCACTGCACTATGGGGCCAGCCCATCTCATCTCTTCTTAAAACAAGCTATTCAGTAGTAAACTGCTGATTTCTTTGAGATATTGCACCCAAAAACTTTGTATAAAGCATTAATAATGCCTCCCAAGCTTCGCCATAAATACCATATTTGTTCTTCAATTTTAGCAAAATGTTGATGTGATAGGGGCTCTTTCAAATGAATGTCTTATCCTTCTTAGTATCAAATTATATTCTGTTCAAACATGTTTTAACAAGTTAGTATGCATTTATTTTGCTACAAAAAAAGTTTTTGAAATCCCTATATGGTATTTTCATCATAGACATTTTCCATGAACTGTTTGAAGACACCTTGTACATCTGAATCACTTGTGGAGCTTTTAGAAATACAGCTTCCAGGACCAGCAGGTGGTGTAGTGAACTTCCACTTGGCCAACCGTGATTTGAGTCCCAGACCTGGTACTTGACTCTCATGCTGGGTGTTGCCCGGTGTGCATGCATGTGTGCTCAAAATGCTGAGAGAATGGAGAAGGGATTGTGGTGTGGCTGAGTGATTTCTTGCCTTCTGTCTCTCTGGCGAGTGCACTCACCCTATAGCAAAAATCTCCCTCTAAAAAGAGAAAGAAAGAAAGAAAGAAAGAAATACAGATTCCTGGGCCCCGTACCACATGAAACTTACTGAATCAATATTCTCCAGGTTTGGTGCCAGGACATACATATTTATTTTGTGATTTAATGTTCTACTATTAGGTACATTAAAGTAAGGAGAACAACTGCTCTGGTCCTCTAAAACCAGCTAATACTGTTTGTTTGTTTTATTCCATACAGTTCCTGGAAGTGTGCCTAGCTAGGAACTCAACAGATTATTTTGTTTATGATGAATCAGCCAAATCAAAAGGTAATGACAATGGAGGAAGAAAGTACCTCCTTTTCAATTTCTTAACACACACCTGATTAAGAACCATAAACTAGAAGCTGATCTACCTATCTATACACACATACACACACATACACACACACACACACACACACACACACACACACATATATATATATATATATCCATTTTATTTATTATTTTTTAATTTTCTGTAGAGCATGAGTGCTCACCAGAAAGAGAAAGAGAAAGAGAGAAGGAGAGTGAGAAAGCAAGCTGCTGGGTCTGGAACTCTAATTGCAGTTGGCCATGTGGGAGTTCAACACCTTAACCACCATGCCACATGCTGGCCCCAAGGATCTTTTATATTGTTAAGAAATTTCAAATGTCTCAGGGCCAGCAGTTGGCATGGTAGTTAAGACCCTGAACTCCCACATGGCCAACCACAGTTTGAGTCCCAGATCTGACGGCTTGAGAATTGCACCAGACTGTGAGAAGAGAATGGAAGAGAAGGAAATGCAGCATGATCATCCCCCGGGGGATGTTTTTTCACCTTTTCTCTCACTGTCTTTCTCCTCCTCTCTCTCTCTCTCTCTCTCTCTCTCTGATGAGCTCATGCACCCTATGGCAAAAACCTTTAAAACTAATTTTTAAAAAATTCAAATGTCTCAAAGGGTGGAAAACTGAGTATATGTAAGATTTGTAAGATTTTATGCATGCCAAAAGCATATATATGCCATTAGGAATATCTTGTCAGATGAAGATGTTGAAATAGCAGAAGGCAGCAGAATGATTCTAACACAACAGAAACTTTACTACACAGTAGCCAAAGTAATTTTACAATCAATGAAAAAAGGAACAAAAACAATTATGGCCCCATTGTTTTCTAAAGTGCCATCGTTGGGTCCTCAAGGCTCACCAAAATGTTTTCTGAATTCTAAAACCCTAAGGAATGTGTTCCTTCATAGAAACAAAGTGAAATGGTGATTACCAGAGGCTGGGATTAGGGGGTTGAGAGGTGTTGGTCCAAGGATACAAAGCATATTAGACAGGAAGAATATGTCCCAGAGATCAATTAATATTATACATCATGGTTACTATAGTTAATAACAATCTATTATAGCTTAAAAATGCTGAGTAGATTTCAAGTGTTCTCACCATAAAATATTGTAAGTGTATGAAGTAATGCATATGTTAAAGAGTTGATTAGTCATTCTGCAATGCATTCATATCAAAATAACTTGTGCAGTGTAATATGCAGAATTTCTACTTGCCGATTAAAAAATGTTTTAAAATGTTTATACATTTTCTCACTCATTAAGGAAAAAATAAATCAAGGATTACAAAAAACAGTATATTGTGGTATACACTATTATTAAAAATTATCTATTTTTAAATTATATGTAATTGATTACCATAGGCTTTATCAAACTATATCTATGAAGCTTCCTATATTACTGATATATAAGTATGTACATGTATGTCAATGATAAGTTATTACAAATAAGTGTATTTATAGTTTGGGGGGTTTTTTTTGTTGTTTTTTTTAAATGCGTGTCAGACCATTAGCCAAGATTATAAACCCTTGCTAGCAATAACTTATACATATCATTTCAGGACTCCTGTTAAAGTAACAACCAAAATAAATTAAAAGATTATTTGTACTTAGATTTTTTTTTTTGAAGTATGTAAGTTTTTATTATGCTGAAGGCAGATTATGAAAAATACAACTTTTCTTTGCCTCCTTGATGGAGCAATTCCTATTTATTAAATGCTACCTAACAAAATTGCTAATAATTTGTTTTATTTCTTCAGGTTTCTTCTGTAATATTTGTTTCTAATCTTTAACATACCCAATAATTGGTTTTAATTATAAAATTAATTTTAAATAATACAGAAGCACCAGAATCTTTAGGCTACTTTGAAATGGAGACTTTCAGAGCGAATATCCTATTTTGGCCCAAAGCCCTTTCAGAAGGAACTGTCATCATGATTGTCAGCTATTAAGGAAATCCTTTTTGTGATATGCACATTTTTATGTGCATCATCAAAAATGACAACTGGCCCAAGCAGAGCCACTGCACTATTAGCATAACTTTAATTGCTCACCAGGGAACTAAAGTTCCTGTTTACACAGATTAAAAGACAAGTTTACTCATGCAAACAGCAGCCAGTATGTTATGTCCTAAAAAAAATTAATATAAACATTCTTAATATCCAATATTTATCAATAATTATAATAATAGAATTATGAAAATAGCATAAATGTTCATAATGTGTGAAAAGTCTTACTTTATAGTTAAAATAAGGAGCCTGCTGATCTTTATCCCACTGGCTTCCAGAAGTAGAGCTATTTATTTGCTTCATGATCGTTTTATAGGGCACCTGGTGTCCAGCGGCATCACTACAAGGAGCCCCCCGGAAAGGGACTTTTGCAATGGTACAAACATGATCCTAGAAATACAAAAACATTCATGTGATAGCTTTTCATTTAAGCATATCTTAAGCCAAATAAGAAAAAATAATCAAGAACTATGTTAAAATAAAGTATATGCTTTAGATAACCTGAAAGTTAGAATGAATTTCACCCAGCAAAAATGTATGACATTCAGAGGATTTCATGGGATTAAGTAATAATGTTTTAGTCTCAACTATATTTCAGAAATTCTAAATAAAATTTAAATATTTTTTTCTTCTTTTTTTTAGAGAGGTTTTTGCTATAGGGTGCATGCACTCGCCAGAAAGACAGAGAGAAGCAGAGAAACAGAAAGCGAGAAATCACCCCCCAGGGGGGATGGCCACGCTGCAATCCCTTCTCCTCCATTCTCCTCTCGGGATCTTGGGCATGCACGCATACGCGCCCGATGTGAGTTTAAGCCACCGGGTCCGGGACTCAAACTGTGGTCGACTACATGGGAGTCCAGCCACACAGCCATTATGCTTAACTGCTGGTCCCGTAAAAATTTATATATTCTTAATGAGACAAAAGAGGCTATAAGAAATATAGAAAAAGTTAACAAATGACCTATTCTTACCTCAGATAAATTCAAGCAGGTATAATCATAACCATACCAGGGAATGCCCATTACAAGTTTCTTAGGGCTAATGCCCATCTTGATGTAGTCATTATATCCTAGTCAAACAGGTAGAAAAAGCTTATTTTTCTCTTATATCTGTTAATGTGTTCAGACAAGCTATGCAACCACTCAGACACTTAAGTTTGTAAAAGCAAGTACACTTACGCAAAATATTAACAGTCTTTTTCTAATAATATAGAAGTCATCAGGGCCAGCAGGTGGTATGGTGGTTAAGGCACTGGATCCCACATGGTTTGAGTCCCGGACACAGTGGCTTTAAAAATACACTGGGCATGGTATATGTGTCTTCCAAAGTCCCGAGGGGAGAATGGAGAAGGGACTGAAGTGTGGGGCTGATTTCTTACTTTTCTTCTCTCTCTGTTTCTCTGGCAAACACATACACCTTCTGACAAAAATCTAAGAACATTTTTTAAAAAGAAGAAAAATAATGCATAGAAGTCATCCCTGAAGAACTATAAATCCCATATCTTGCCTTCTAAACAATTTCTTTTTTTTTTTTTTTCTGAGAGAGAGATATTTTGCTATATAGTGTGTGTGCTCGCCAGAGAAACAAAAAGACAGAAAGCAAGAAATCACCCCCCCCAGGGGGGGGATGACCACGCCATAATCCCTTCTCCTCCATTCTCCTCTTGGGATTCTGGGCACATACACACACTTGCCTGGCATGCGCTTAAGTCACCAGGTCCGGGACTCGAACCATGGTTGACCATGTGGGAGTTCAGCGATGTAACCATTATGCCACCTGCTGGTCTCCCCATTTCTTCTGAATAAAATAAAATATCTCAAACAACATAAAATTACCTTAAACATTTCACAAAATCTAATCTGAGAAAGATTGACACATTTCAGAAAAGCATGCTAATTATGTCTATTCATTGGTAAGACATGATATATTTGATATTCTACATTCTAAACTTTTAAAATAATTCTATAAACCTTAAACGTTCTGGTAATGATGGTCTCAAATTATTTTTTTAAGAATTATTTTATTTAACTTTATTTTAATTTTTTGACTAGAGAGGGACAGAGCAAGAGAAAGAGAGGGAGAGTGAGAAAACAAACCACCAGGTCCAGGACTTAAACTGCAGTCAGCCATATGGGAGTCAGGAGTCCTTAACCACCATGCCACCTGCCAGTCCCATCAAACTTTCTTATAGAAAACACATGTGTTCTCTGTTTTACAAACATCCTATAAGTATGAATAATAGCTGGGAATAAGAAATGGCCTCTAATCCTATGGTAGGTAATCTACACTCATAGGAAGAAATGAGAAAAAAGAACAAATTTCTGGTACTGCTGATTCTTTTCTTATCTACTGTTGCAAAACATGTTTTCCCACCAAGAAATACACCCAGATTACCTAGAATGTTGGGTTAAATAAGCGTTTTGCTTTTCAGAGCCTTTAATGTAATTATGCACTGTTAAATATCCAAAAGAGGGGTGGAAGGGCCAGCAGGTGGCATGGCGGTTAAGGCGCTAGATTCCCACATGGTGGTCAACTGCGGTTTGGTTCCCAGACCCAGCAGCTTGCTTTCTCACTTTTTTTTCCTCTCTCTCTCTCTCTCTCTCTCTCTCTCTCTCTCTGTATGTCTCTGGTCAAATTTTTTTTTTAAATCATAATAACAATAATAAATAAAATTAAATATAAATAATTCTTTTAAAAAAAGAGGAGTGGAGTATGCATCTTTTCCCATGCATATTTGATAATGAGCCTTTTATTGTTAGAACATAGTTATCTCTTCTATGAAATACAGTTTGGGAACACTGAATTAAATAATTACTTTGTAATTTTAGCATAATGAAATTATTTTTCAAATTTAAATAGTATATGTTCATATGCTATTTGTAAGTTTTGAGATCATTATTACCGGAAAGTTTAAGATTTATAGAATTATTTTGAAACTTTAGAATGTAGAATATCAAATATATCATGTCTTACCAGTTAATAGACATAATTAGCATGCTTTTCTTTTTTTTTTTTTTTTTTTTTTTTTTTTGAGGGTAGGTTTTTGCTATAGGGTGCGTGTGCTTGCCAGACAGAGAGAGACAGACAGAAAGCAAGAAATCATCCCCCGGGAGGATGGCCACACCGCAATTCCTTCTCTTCCGTTCTCCTCTCGGGATCTTGGGCACGCACGCACACGCACCCAGCGTGAGTTTTAAGCCACCGGGTCCGGGATGCAAACCATGGTCAACTACGTGGGAGTCCAGTGACATAGCCATTACGCTAACTGCTGGTCCCTTAGCATGCTTTTCTGAAATGTGTCATTCTTTCTAGAATTGGATTGGACTATTCTGTCCAAACAAGACATGATAAAATGAAACCACATTTTCTCTGTATGAAAAAAAATTTTTTTTTCAACAACTTAAACAACTATCCCACAAGATTTCAGTTGAGTTTGAAAGATAGAGCAATCTTTCATTCAGTTGACTGACAGAATACAACTAAACTTTGGAGAGGATGAGGCAAATTGCTATTCAGAAATGCCATTGAATGACAGATCAGAATTACTCTTAATTCTAATAGGAATACAGTTTTTAATATATCATGAGTATGAATGTTAAATAAAATAAAGACAGTATTATTATACCATAACTGTCTTTGCTACTGAATGATTTAACTTTGGTTATTTCAACCAGGATATTCTGTCAAATTCTAGAAAAGCACATACCTTCTTCATGTGGCTTCATGGCAAGAATGCTGGACTTGAAGTTAATATACCTGCTTGAGGCCCAACTGTATAATACTTAATAACTGTGCAACTATAGAACTTACGTCCTTTCATTTCACCTGTAATAGAGGGTTAATAATATACCTATCCCATAAGGTGGTTAGCAGAGTTAAATGAAAACTTCAAACCTTTTTGTAAACTTCAAAGTTCTCCAAATTAAGTGATTAATATGTTCCAAGCGAGCTGTGCACATAGAAAAGGTATACTAATTGTGTATCTTTATCCAGACATGCTGTTTTTATTTGCTAATAGACATCTTAATGTTTGAAGTTGTTATTACTAATAAGTGATCGTTTTGCAGATTCTTACCAGTTAATGTCTGATTATAGGGAGCATTGGCTGCTGCAATACATTCTGACCAGACCTGGCTTTGTTCATCGTAAGACATCACAAAGAGAAAGTCACAAGCATCTGCAATTCCAGTATAATTATAACACCTTCTGTCTATGTTCTTTGGAGACCAAGCTACATCAAAGGTTACCTGTGGGGAAATACATACTGTTTTATGTAACATGATCAAATACGTATATTATATCAGATTTCTTTGATTACATGTTCTCTTGGCTCATACTACACAAGAAAAAAGAACTGCTTACAGTATATGAATGTAGGGTTTGACATATGTAAAACTAGAATAGTTTTAAGAAATATATATTTTACGTACATTGGACTGACCCATGCATATCTTTAGGCACACAAGGATCAGGAAACAGAGCACTATATAAATAGAAGAGTGTCAAATGTCTTCAGAGGCCTGGTTTGTAACTCGACTCATTGAAACAGGTATAATGACTAATAGATTGTATCAGACCCCTGAGCAACTGAGAGTAAAGACTCCCTAAAAGAATTTAAATACAAACATTTTAAAAATATTGTGCAGGCTGAGACCAGCAGGTGGCATGGTAGTTAAGGTGCTGGGTTCTCATGTGGCAAACCACAGTTTGAGTCCTGTACCCTGTGGCTTGAAAATCAGGCTGGACATGTATGCCCCTCAATCCTGAGAAGATAATGGAAGAGATGGGACTGTGGCGTGGCCATCATCCTTGCAGGGTGACTTCTCACTTTCTCTCTCCACCCCCTACTTTCTCTAAATAAATATAGATTTTTCTAGAGAGCACATGCACCTGCCAGAGAGAGAGGCAAAGTGAGAAAGCATCCCCATGGAGGAGGCCGTGCCGCAATCCCTTCTCCTCCATTTTCCCCTTATTTTAGGATTTGGGGCATGCACACACCTGTGCCTGGCATGTTTTTCAAGCCACTGGCAGTTGGCCATGTGGGATCTAGCCACCTTAACCACCATGCCACTGGCTGGGCCTACTCATTTTTTTTTTAAGAATTATTTTATTTTTAACTTTATTTATTTTAATTTGACCAGAGAGGGACAAGAGAGAGAAAGAGAGAGAAAGCAAGCTGCCAGGTCCAGGACTTACCATGGTCAGCCATGTGTGATTCCAGTACTCTTAACCACCATGCCACCTGCTGGCCCCAACTCAGACAATTTTTAAACATTGTGCTAAACTTCAAGGAACTAGCACTCGCCTTCAAAACAAAAACTCATTGATTAGCCTAGCAATTCTTGACCATAACTACCTTTGGATTTTGTTTAGTTGTAGACTGTGAGCTCACCTACAACCTAATAATTTCTGGGAGTGAGTCCCTAGTGTGTGTTTAAGACCCACGGTTGCCTTGACATGTGACTAGGTTGGAGAATCGCTGATCTGGGGTCACACTATCCTTTGTTACCCACACATTACTTTGTAAGATGCCTCATGCTGCACTCTTCTGCACTGATCAAACTCACAGCAGTGGGGAGACACACTGCCTATTTTCATAATTCCAACAAGTTCTTTGGAGTTAGTCCTTTGAAGGTTTTTGGCCTTCAGGTGCTTTGCAAGTTGTTCCAAGACTATGGAGTAAGTGAGACATTTCCCCAGAACTGTTCAGCAAGAACAGTTTCAGTCCTGCACTGGTGAAAGCCAGGTAGGCCTTCCCTGATTCTTGCTGCCCCCACTGCCTGTGGTAACACCCGTAACCCTGCAACAAAGCAAGTAGGTGGAGAATCCCAGAGTTATATTTTTATGTAAACAGAAATCAGACATCGACTTAGCACCTTAAAATTCCTTAAATAAAAACAAAAAGTTACAAAAACTTTTAGGAAATATGTGCAGAAATTCTTCCCTACCCCATTACTATAAAACTAAGATTGTGTTGTCATACCCTCATTCATAGATTTTTGATAGGAAGAAATATGGGTTTTCCAAAATACAATTGAATTTTTACCTGTGATCCCTCAATTTCACGATGGAAAGAGTCTGTGGTTTCTTTGACTAAAGCTGTTAATGCATCATATTCAGGTGATGAACAATTAACTTCTTGCTCTATGTCTATATTAATCCCATCCATATGTTGTGTTTTGGCCAAATCAAGTTTTTGAGCTATCCAGGATTCTCTGAATGTAGGATCAACAATATCCCGTAAGGATACATCTCCTGTGAAAGAAACAGAAATCTTGTATACGTATCTGCTTTTTACAGTTCAGTGACATTTATTTCACAAACCTATTCCAGAGATCAAAATGTCTTTAATAGTTCTCATTATTTTGGAAGACTAAGTTCCTAAGTTTTCTTTGATTTTTTTTGTTTGTTTGTTTAATATTTGCCAGAAGATGCATATACTTGCCAGAGAGAGAAGGAGAGTGAGAAAGCACTCCCCAATGAAGCATGGTCATGCCACAATCCCTTCATTTCTGCCGCTTGTCAGGATTTGGGGCATGCTTGCACTTGTGCCCACAGTGTTTTTTAAACTGCTGGAGCTGGGACCGAAACTGTGGTTGGCTATGTGGGATCTGGCTCCCTTAACCACTAGACCAGTGGGCCAGCCCTAAGTTTTCTAAGTGGAGAAATAATATATCAAAATAATAGAAAGCCATTACTCATTCATCTCCAAAATAACCATTATGGATATTTAGTAAAATCATTCTCAAACTAGAAGCAGGAACTATAGACTATGACTAATTAAAGGTCATCATGCTGATTAGCCAGTCACATTTTGCTCAAAACCATATAGCGGTTTACTTCTTTAAAAAATAATTTGTGAAATGAATAAGATTAATTTTAGGATCCCAAATAAATAAAATAAAAAAAAAACACCCAGAGAAATATTAAAAGGACTTTGTTTTAAGTCAGGACTACAGCAGATGATATATTTACCAGTTGGGTAGATACATAGATCTAGCAAGAACATACCTTTAAGCACCACTCTGGCTCCTTTTGAATGAGCATAGCACAAAAGTTCTGAGTCATATTTTCCAAAAGCTGCCACAGTTGTAATCTGTGACCAGTCATAAGATTTCCAAGTTTTCTGTCCAATATCAAATATAAAGACCTACAAAAAACACCAGTAAGCACCATCATTTAAACTAAAAAAAAATTTTTTTGAGAGGTTTTCGCTATAGGGTACATGTGCTCGCCAGATAGACAGAGAGAGACATAGAGCTAGAAAGCGAGAAATCACCCCCCAGAGGGGATGGTCACGCCGCAGTCGCTTCTCCTCCATTCTCTTCGCGGGATCTTGGGCACGCACGCACACGCGTCCGGCGTGTGTTTGTGCGTTTTTTTTTTTTTTTTTTTGAGAGATTTTCGCTGTAGGGCGCGTGCGCTCGCCAGACAGACAGAGAGAGACATAGAGCTAGAAAGCGAGAAATCACCCCCCAGAGGGGATGGTCACGCCGCAGTCGCTTCTCCTCCATTCTCTTCGCGGGATCTTGGGCACGCACGCACACGCGCCCGGCGTGAGTTTTAAGCCACCGGGTCCGGGACGCAAACCACGGTGGACTACGTGGGAGTCCAGCACCATAGCCATTACGCTAACTGCTAGTTCCCTAAACTAAAAATATTATACTGACCATCCAGAATATCATAAAGTACCACTGTGTGCCAGGCATTACGGTGGACAGTGAAAATACATCAGTGAGTAAGATACAGAGATCCCAATGTAATTCGTCACAGGAATAACTGGCCAGACCTGGAGGACAGTCCAGGATGAAGTTAGTGGCCTGTGCCAAGGCCTGGAAGCAGGCCTGGTGATTGTATAACAAAATATTTAGTATGGCTGACACCCAAAATTTGTAGAGTTCATAGTGAAGACTAGAGACTGGTGGGCAAGGGTTAAATCCTGAAGGTCCTCATAAGCCTGTCAAGAAATTAATACTTTATCATGAGACCAACATGATGTTTATGTCGCTGGACTCCCATGTAGTCGACCATAGTTCAAGTCCTGGACTAGGCGGCTTAAACTAATGCTGGGCACGTGTACATATGTGCCCAAGATCCTGAGAGAAGAATGGAGGAGAAGGTGGCGTGACCATCCTCCCTGGGGGTGATTTCTTGCTTTCTGTTTCTCTGTCTCTTTCTGGTGAGCATACACACCCTATAGCAAAAACTCTCTTAAAAAAAATAAAAGAAATTAGTACTTTATCTTGAGGAAAAAGGAGAGAACAAATGCATTTCAAAAAGGAGAAATGATGCATTTTAGAAAAATCTCTCCAGCTGAAGAGGAAATGTTTTAGAGAGATCAAATCTGGAGGCAGAATAGGGACGCTGTTGGAGAAATCTATGAGATGATGGTGACCTCGAGATCATGGAGCAGTGGAGGTGAGATCCTACAGAGACAAAATGAACAGGCGTGTGACTAACCGAGCAAGTAAGGCAAGAGAAAGGGAGGAGTTTGATAATACAGTGCTGTACTGGGGAAGCCCCAGATCTGAGAGGGCTTGCCCATAATGGTTACCGATTCCAAAGAACACACCCGGTGGTCCAGCAGGGGAAGACGCATTTACTTACACAGGACAGGCTGCTCTGCTGACAGCCGGGCATCCCTGGCCTGTTTCGCTAAGGGATATGTTCAGAACAAAACATTCATAAATCAAAGATAAATGCAGATTCCCTCTTGCCAAGACAGGGGATCTAGTTTGTATATATATTATTTGAAGGTTAGAATAAAAGGTTAGCTGATGGGTGAACAGAATCAGCAGAGGATGTTTAGGGTTTAGTGCCCCTAATTTTGTGATGCTAACGTGGGAGGAGTATGCGTACCTCAAGGATGACCATCCCCAGATGTGGCCTGCAGCTGGGTCTCAGGGAAAGGGTGAAGAGGAAGGGGGAAAGGAGAGCTCACTGTATGGGGCCTGCCCTCAAGCACTCCTTCTCTGCCTGTTGCAGGTGGAGCTATACAGACTGCATTTACCATGCGTGTTCTATGCTGACTTGTTAGAATAGTATTCGTATCAAATTGTAAGGCAGCCGATGTTATGTTTCTCCAGTATTTTTTCCTCAGAGATAATTCTAGAAGCACAGATCATTTTTACTTTATCCTAAGGTATTAATCCACTGGTTCAGCAAAGATATATTGAATTTAAATAAGGTATAGGGAGGATAGTTTTGCAAGGCTCTAGGGACACAGAAGCTAACAAGAGAATAGATCTATTAGGGAGTCAGTTACGTAATAACAATAGTATTAAGGGCTTTAAGGAAATGCAGGACCCCAGACCAATATGCAGGGAACCTACGAGCCAGGTGGAGCAGGAACACTTCCCTTAGGATTATACATTTTAGGGAAGAATGACTGAGGAGACAACTCTCAGTTGAAGGAATAAAAGGCCCAAAGGTCCCGACAGGAGAATTCTGAGACTGGAACGGGAAGGTCAAGATGGCTATAGCACAGAAATCCTGAAAAGTATGTGCAGTGGAATAAATGCAGTAAGGTAGGTGGTGGCAAGATGAAGCAGGATTTTGTAGACCAATGAGGAGTTTGTATTTTATCCTGGAATCAATGGGAAGCCATTAGTTTCAAGAAGGGGTGCATTAAAGAGACCACTGGACACTGCGAGAATGGGGGAGGGTGGTGGGGAGCACCAGCTTTGAGTTAAACCGGACTTTTCTTAATTTTCTCCATTTTCACTTTTCAGAACATCTTTTTGCTACACAATTGCCCACTAAAATAAAAACTGCAGAATGTGAAATTGAACGGCCCATTGTTTCTAAATTCATCTATGAAACCTCATCCCTAATTTAATTCTGATAATTAAGACTGAACTTGTTACAAAAATACAACACATACACTCAAAACCTGTGTGTCCTCATCGGCTCTGTTGATAATAACAGAGTATACCTACATGTGGACAGTTTCAGAGAGGAGAGGTTAACTCAGCTCACGGTGTAGATCCAAGGTCCAGGCCCCATATTTCTGTCAATATTCTGTTCACTGCCATTTATTTAACCAGTCTGTAAGAAGTTTCATTTCATTTCCAAACTGTTCTGAGTGCCACCAGAATCTAGGTCTTTCCTGGAATGCTCCTCCAGGCTCTTCTAATCTACCTGTCCATTACCCAATTCCAAAGCCACTTCCCCCTTTTCAGGTACTTGTTACTAACAAAATGGCCCCAGTTCTCAGTACCAGTTCTCTGTTTTAGTCTATTCCATTGCTAATAACGGAAAATACTCGAGTCTGGGTAAATTAAGAGGTCTATTCAGCCCACAGTTTGGAGGACCAAGGTCCAGGAGCCACATCCAGTGGTGGTCCTGCAGAGTCCTGAAGCATCCCACCAGGGGACAAGAATAGAACAGCTGCATCCATAAGGATTTCACTGTTTAGTCTCCTCCCTTCTCTTTATAAACCCACCAACTCAGTCATAGGGGTCCCATCCTAATCAGTTCATTACTCCCAAAGGCCCCATTTTTTAAAACCTCAACACATGAATTTTGGGGGCATACAAACCATAGCAGTGTAATATAATAGAAATCTTTGAAAAAAATTACCAGATGAACCAAGTAAAAAAAGAAAAAACAAAAACAATGTATTCTAGTGTTTAAAAACTATAGATGTGGCCAGTAGACAAAAAAAAAATAGATCACTTACCATAGACATACAAATGTACATAATTCTGCTCCTTGATAAAATTGGTTTTGAGATGCCCATAAATACTGTCTATGTCACTAAGCAGTATTGGGTGCCACAATAAATTAAACTTTTAAAAAAGTCATTGAGGGGCCAGCAGAGGGCGTAGTAGTTAAGGAACGGGACTCTTACTTGGTGGTTCAAGTTCCTGACCTGAAGGCTGGAAAAATCATGAGGCCAGCAGATAGCGTAGTAGTTAAGTCACTGGACTCCCACGTACACAGTAGAGAACAGTTCGAGTCCCAGATCCAGTGGCTTGAAACTCATGCTGGGTGAATGTCCAAGGCCCCAGGAGAAAAATAGAGAAGGGGTTGTGGCATGGTCATCCCACCTGGGAGGTAATTTTTCACTTTCCCGCTTACTGTCTCCTCTCAAGCAAGCACACACCCAAGGGGGGAAAGAAAAAAAGATTACACTGGGTGCATGTGCATGCATGTCACAAATCTCAAGAACTTTGGCATGGCCATCCCCCTGGGAGGGGGAGTAATTTCTCACTCTCCCCCCTCCCTCCCTCCTCTGGTTAACCCACGCCCCCTAGGGCAAAGACTTAAAAAATGTAATTGAGAGGCCATTAGGCTGAAACTGTCCTAATACCAGGAGTTCCTAATCAACTGCCCAACTGTAAACAGTAAAAGGAAACTTTAGCTTAACTAATCAACCCAGATCAGACCCAAAGGAGGCAAACACCTAGCCATAAGTAACTACTTTGTTTCTGGTTCAGCTCATAAAAGCCCATTGCTCCTTCTGCTAAAGGGGACCTCTCTGGACTTCCTCTGGTTAAGAGTGCTACAGATTAATGAATTATTCTCTGCCAAAATAAACATTGTTAAATTTGTCTTAAGTTTTTCTTCAGTTTATGAAGTATTAGGTTTTCACACTGGGCAGGTTCTCCAAAAACATTTACACCACTTCAGTTTTTCTCCTAAAGCACCATAGATGTGCTTTGTAATGGGCATTGAAATGCATCTGCCTGAAAGTCAATCTATCACGCTGAGAACTAGGCATTGTTCCTATCTCTACAAAAGAACTGTTCTTTGGACTGGGCCTTTTAACCTCTCTCGCCTGGTCCAGTTCCTGCTGTAGTCATCAAACTCTTGGCAGTCGGTTGGTTTTAATATAGCTTCCAAAAGGGAGTTTGATTAAAGTCACTAGAAATCTTATAAATTGTTAGGTAAAAGGAAAATTGAAAGATCGACTTTTACTGCCGTTCTTGGGCAGTTTTGAGCCACAAGGGAAAGA